ATCTTTCCATTTTTCATATCTTCTTTAATTTCCTTCATCAATGGTTTATAGTTTTCTGTGTATTATTCTTTCACCTCCTTGGTTAGATTTTGAAATTTGATGTAAGAATGGGAAATTTTTGTCATTCTGAGAGAGGAAAAATCATAAGTTGTGATAAGCAAATATGAGAATATTGTTTTATAAATACCTGTTTTCATACTGTCATGAGGAGAGAGATAATCGGAGATACAAAAATGAATTATGACAGTTAGGAAATAGTCTCCAGTACTTACTGTTTTGCTATGAGCAAGGCTCTGTATTAGGAGCATGAGGTGCAGCTAGGTGTACAAAGGGAACAGAACAGGAAGAGACAAGTCCCTTCCTCTTGCGTCCTGTGGGGTGGGGAAAGGAGGACACAAGCAAAAATAATGTAAACCTTGTCCACCACGAATCAGTACGACAGAGGAACGGAGCAGCTGTGGTAGTCCGTAACAGGAGTGTCTAGTGTCTGGGGATGTTTAGATTAATCCCAAAATAGTGAGTAAGGAATTGGGGAATAGCAGGTAGAAGAAACTGAAGCAGAGAAGAGCTTGATGCACTTGAAGACTGAAAGGGTGAGCCTGTCGATGTTCTCAGCATCCACTCTTGACTGTGCAGAGGAGAACACTGATAGGCTCCTGTACTTAGAAGAAAAAGAACTGGTGCTATGTTTTGAAACAAAACTCATTTTTTTACTTTTTTATGAAATTTTCATAGTAGAATTTTTTAGGGTTTCAGGTCAAAGAAAATGCCACAGAATTAAGAACATTGCCCTTTCTAGTATGGCTGTGGGGAAATTTTGAAAAGAGATGCAACTAGGTTGATTTAGGTGACACCTTAAGACCTACATCCCTCTGGGAGTGCAAGATTTGCAGACACTAATATATATAAAATAGATAAACAACAAGTTCATACTGTATAGCACAGGGAACTATATTCAGTATCTTGTAACTTATGGTGAAAAAGAATGTGAAAATGAATATATGTATATTCATGTATGACTGAAGGATTGTGCTGTACACCAGAAATTGACACAACATTGTAAACGGACTGTACTTCAATAAAAATACGTATGCCAAAAAAAAAAAAAAAAGATCTACCCCTTTCTTTGTACCTGAGGTTCTGGTCTCTGCTCTTGGTGTGATTTTCTGGGTTTCCCATTCCTGTAGACATTATCAGCTGTGGCCAAAATTTGACTCCTCACACTTAGAGCAGCTCCCTCAGGAGACCAGTTTCTGGCTTACAGTAGAAGATGCCCCTGTCCACCCCGAGTTTCATCCTCCTGGTTGGAGGTGCCAGTACCAGTTAGGACACCAAATTCCAGACTGCTTACCAAGGAAAGAAGATCTGATTTAGATGTTCGAAGGTTCTCACAAGTGCTTTTTTTGTCACACTGATGACCTGTGGCAATAGAATCTCTTGCAGTGTGGTCATGTTAGGAAAACCAGGACTCTTCTTGAGGAGACAGCAGCCTTCCTGTGGGATTTTGCTGGAGACCACGTTTTCTCCTGCTGTCATCCTTCTCAGTTCTTGTGCTTATATCACAGATTTCCAGTGTCATTATGGGGGTTCATTCCTGATTCACATCTTTAAAGGCTATCTTCCTTGCACTACAAGTCTGTCTCTTGCGAATATTAATTTATCCTCACTGTATTATGGATTCTTGTCATTAATTGGGTATTCTCTCTTACCCAGTCTTTTACTTGACCTTTTCTGCTGCTTTACTTCTACTGTCTTAACGTTAAAAGGCCCAGCTTTTAAACATGTTTTTTTAAGTGAAGTGTGCCACATGATTATAAAGAATTCCAGGAAGCAGTAGAATATAATGGAAAGGACCAGATTTTGTTCCTGGCTGCATTCCTGCCATTCTAAGCTCAGGTTTTCTTACGTTAGAAATGGGGATAGTGAGGGCTGCCCGGCGTCCTGTGGATGGCACCAAGCAGTGTGCTCGCAGACTGCAGAGCACCATTTGGCTCGCTACCACACGAGCCCACTCCACCGTGACTGTCTCATGTTTCAGAACCAGGCTACTGCCCCGTGAGACTGGGGATGACGACTGGAAGACTTCAGTCTGGAGTGAATACTTTGCAGGGGTTCAAAGAAGATAAAAGGAACAAAGTAACTCCAGGTAAGCCCCCACATGTTGGTCATGTTTTTTCTCTTTTTTTCTTGTCTTTCAAGGAGTTGGGGAAAAGAAGCATAACTACCATTTATTACTTTATACACTTTCTTCGTGGTATTTTTGTAACATTAATTATTTTATTAACTTAAGAAACTGAAAAATCAGTATTAATATTCAAAATGAGTTTTGTTACTTCTTTTTTCCTTTTCCCATCGTAGGGAAAAATTCACTTGAGTTGTGACTTTACAAGTACGTGTTTGGGAGAAGGTACTTACCTTAGATTTGTACGCCAGTCAACGCAGTAGCAAAGTTAGCAGGAATCTAATAAAACAACAAAATAGATTGACATACAAGATAAAGAATAGTATTATAGTTTTTTTAATTGTAGTTCTTTTCTTTTCTCAAGTGTTATATTTGAATTATGGACCCTACAGTTCTTATGCACCACATTATGACTCCACATTTGCAAATATCAGCAAGGACGATTCTGATTTAATCTATTCAACGTATGGGGAAGACTCTGAGCTCCCGAGCGATTTCAGGTGAGTCACTGGTTCATCAGTATTAGAGTGCTGCATTGTCCTAAAATACTAACACACGTAAGTGACCTACTGATAGACTTACAGAGTAATTCAAAGGGTAGAAAATGTGTTCAGTGATTTTTTTTTAATTTGACTATAATTAAATAGACCCTTAGTTATCATCATCCTTTAATGGCAACTAAATATTTTAAAGAGTTTATCTCCCTAATATTTTCTGATATTGGCATCTGCAGTATTTTATTTCTTACAAAAATATCTTTTTAACGATGCTGTGTACCTCAACATACTAAAATTCAGGAGCTTGTTGCTTCAGAATGTTGATGTGCCATCTGCTCTGCTGTAACATTTTTGTGTGTCAGTGAGTTGTTCCACACTTAATCAGTTTGGGAACCCACAGCACATTTTCCCCAAGAGGTAGGACAGGATTCATTTCATAAGGCAGCCCACATCCGTGCCTGTTAGACCCGTCACGTACCAGTGAACTATTGCAATTACACTCATCCATCTCTTACTGCGTGTTTCTGTGGGAAGATAACTTTCTTTGCTCTTATTTAGGATGCTGGGTACTTTGCACCCCAGGATGGGATATCATCTTGATTTACTGGGATTCTGGCTTGTGGCGGGGCACTGAGCTTGGGTTATTCCTCCGTGGCACCAGCACCTTGTTAGCTTTCATTATGTGTAATGATTTAACTCCATGGATTAACCAGGCTCCTGGTTTTCTGACAAAGGGAGGGCTGTTCACTTTTATATATGTATGGTAGTAGTGGGGGCAGTGGTTTTACAAGGCAGGGGTCCCTAGGTCAGAGACTGACTGGTTTAAGATCAGGCCATTTGTATCCTTCACATATCTTCTGGCCAGTTTGAACAAATTCTTTCTGGATTATTCATCCATACATTCCACAAATAGGCATTTCATGTGCCTTATGTTCCAGGCATTCTAGATGCTGGGGATTCCACAAGGGAACAGTACTTGCAAAGACCCGTGCCTTCCTGTCAGATGGTAACAGGTGTTTTGGAGAAAAGTAAAGACACAAAGGAGGATAGTGCTAAGACTGGGAGAAGGAGAGTAGTTTTAAATAGGGTAGTCAGGGAATGCTTTGCTAAGTGAACATTGAGCAAAAACTCAAGGAGGTAAAGAAGCAAACATTGCTGCTGTCTGAAAGAAGAGATTCCAGCCTGTGGAACAGCTGTGCAAAGGCCTTGAGGTGGGAACCTACGTGACACATTTAAAGACCAAGAAGAGCAGTATGGGGCAGAAAGAGTGTAGGGGAGATAACAGATGGCATTAGATCTTTCTAAGGACTTGGAAGTTTACCCAAAGTGAGATGGGAAAATACTCGTGGATTTTGAGCAGAGTAGTAACCCAATCTAGCTTATAATTTTAAAATGATCACTATGGCTGCTGTGTGGATGACAGATTTCATGGGGGCAAGGGGAGAAACGGGAACTGCTGTCATAATCCAGATGAGAACTGGACCATAGAGTAGCACTGAGGTACTGAGAAGGAATCAACAGTCAGCTGGTAGGATTTCTTGACTAATCAAAGCAGGGTGTGAGAGAGTGAAGTCAAGGAGGACGCCAGGGCTTTAGACTGAATCTAGAAGGATGACATTGCTATTGACTGAGATGGGGAAGATTTTAGAGGGACTGCTTTGGGAGGAAGATCCAGCAACTCAGTTTTGGACATTTTGAGATCCCTGTTAGACCTCCAGATGGAGCTGTCCAAAGAGTGTGGTCCAAACTGGAGGTGGAACTTTGAGAGTCTTTTAGTACATGTGAGAGTCCTGAGATGAATCACCTAGCGGGGAAGTGAAGGGGAGAAGGAAAGAGCTCCACACGCTGAGCCCTGGACCCCGCCATCACAAGTCTTGTTTTTCTTTGAAGGTTTCCCCAGGAGCATTTCCTTTTCACGGTGTTCTTGATGTTGTTTAATTCTCTCATGATGATAAATTTATCACTGGTAATATATAAGTACAGTGTTGTGCCTGGATGGAAAGTTTCACGTCATGGTGTATAAATTAAGGGCATCTAATGAAACAGTTGGCTCTGGTAGTAGATTACACCAGTAGAGATGATTTATATATGAAAGTGACTTTCCCAACACACTCTCTTTCAGCATCCATGAGTTTTTGGCCACATGCCAAGATTATCCATATGTCATGGCAGATGGTTTACTGGATGTCTTAACAAAAGGAGGACATTCTAGAACCCTGCAAGAGTCGGAGATGGTAAGAATGCTGCTAAAGAAACAGGGTGATTTATCATTGGCTCTCAAGTGTTAGTCGTCAGTGTTATGAAACCATGGGATTAACCAGTGTGACAGCTGAACTCCATTCCGCTGAAAAGACAGCCCAGCCTGGGTGGAGACCATGGGTGGAGGACAATGAACGGAAACGAGTAACTCAGCTACCAGGATCTGTGAGGGCCAGAGGAGTGTCATTATCTCCTCATCTTGGGAATGTAGGAATCAAAAATGGGGTTATAACTCAGAAGTCAACTTCTGTTATGTACCCTAACAAAAAAAAAAGGAAGTCCTGCTCACTGGCTTGAAACTGAGTTGACTAAAATGATAGGGAATGTCCTTTTCCTTATTTTGTAGTAATAACACAGTGGAGCCTCAAGTGAAAAAGTAAAAAGCTTCCTCATTGCTGTCTTTTATTAACACTTGTAAACTAGCTCCAGTTCAGTTGGATGTAGTTCATAATCCAGGATAATTCAGAGACTTGGCTCAAAGATTAGAACCAGAAAATGTTCCTTCTGGCGTACAGGAGAGTTGATCTCAGAAATGTCCTTGTCACCATAATTAGAGGAACCCTCTATCCCCAGGAGTCATAACTCTTCCTGGAGGCTGTGACTGTAGTTGCCTTGTCCTCTGCCCTCACTACCTGTGGCTGCTGGTCCTTGCCCTCTTGGCAAAGCTGAGTCAGCGCCCGAGGTTCAGTGAGAACTGCTGCACAGTCTTAGCACATAAATGAACTGCTTTCTTTACAAGACCTAAAAAATACTCAGATTTACATGAATTCAAAAATATTTTTACTATTCTCTTCCCATCAATCTGAATTAATTAAAAGTCTTGAACTAAAATTGAATATCTTCCATCTGGTTGATATGGCAATATTTTTCAAATTTAAAGTTTCTCTGCCCTTTGGTCCAGCAGTTCCTCTTCTCAGAATTTAAGAAAATAAGAAGTAATATATAAGGGATACAATGTTTACAGTTTTTTTAAACTGGGACTTGGTTAAATAAATCACAATATAACCTTTCAAAAAAAGAAAAGAGATTACTGATTTTTGCACATGACTAGGATTATGGGAGGCTTTCGCGTTCTCTGTAGCATTTAAATATTTTACAGTAATCCTCTGATGTCGAACAGTATTGCCATTTTTAATGCAGAATAGGCCCTAGAGTTCTCCAGTCTTCTCTGTCAGAGATTTCAAGCACCAGTTATTAAAAATAGATTCCATTTGAGTCCTTGTATTCTGTTTACCAAAACCATTTTACACATGCATATAGCTTCTTGATCAGGCATAGAACTGTCGATCTCTTTTTTTCAATCGACATATAGTCAGTTTACAATGTTGTGTCAGTGTCTGGTGTACAGCATAATGCTTCAGTCATATGTGAACATACATATATTTGTTTTCATATTCTTTTTCACCATAAGTTACTACAAGAAATTGAATATTGTTCCCTAGGCTATACAGTATGAACTTGTTGTTTATTTATTTTATATACATTAGTATCTCGAACTCCCAATTTATCCCTTGCTACCTCCTTTCCCCACTGGTAACCATAAGTTTGTTTTCTATGTGAGTCTGTTTCTGTTTTGTAAATAAGTTCATTTGTCTTTTAGATTCCATGTATAAGTGATATCATACAGTATTTTTCTGGTTTGATAATTTTCTTTTGTATTTGTTTCTTTTTGGGTTTTGTGACTATTATATGCTTTTGATTTATGGTTACCCTGTTTTTCAACTATATTAATCCATTACTGTATCTGTTTGCTTTACACTAGTAGTCATGTAGGCTCAAACACATCCTAAAAAGAATGAAGGAAAAAGGAAGAAAAAGAAAAAAAAATCTTTGTTTTCTTGTTCCCCTCTCCCACCTTTTATGATTTTGGTGTCCTTTTTTTTTTATCTTCATGTTTATTCCCTTATTGTAGTTATTGCATTTCCAATTATGGTTTTCTCTTTTCTATAGCTTCCTATGTCTTTTCTAGTTAGAGTAGACCTTTCAGTATTTCTTTTAGGGTAGGTTTAGTATTGCTGAATTCTTTTAGTTTTTCTTGTCTGTGAAATTCTTTCTCTCTCCTACTGTAAAGGATAGTCTTGCCAGATAGAGTATCCTAGATTGCAGCTTTCTCTCATTCAGGACTTTGAATTTATCTTGCCACTCCCTTCTGGCCAGCAGTGTTTATGTAGAAAAATCAGCTGAGAGCCTTATGGGGGTTCCCTTATAACTAACTCTTTGTTTTTCTCTTGCTGTCTTTAGAATCATTTCTTTATCTTTAACTTTGGCCATCTTAATTATAATATGTCTTGGTGTAGGTCTGTTTAGGTTCTTCTTGTTTGGGACCCTCTGTGCTTCCTATACTTGGACATTTGTTCCCTTCTTTAGGTTTAGAAAGTTTTCGGTCATGATTTCTTCAGATACCTTTTCAGTCCCCTTTTCTCTTTCTTCTCCTTCTGGGACCCCTATTATGCATAGGGTGGCACACTTTATATTATCCCATAGGTCCTTTATATTGCTTTCATTGGTTTTTACTTGCTTTTCTGTCTGCTCTTCTGATTGGGTGACTTTTATCCTGTCTTCTGAATCACTTATTCATTGCTCTACATTATCTGGTCTGCTTTTGACTGCCTTTAGCTCAGCTCTTATCAGCCATTGTGTTTTGTTTTAATTAGCTCCTCTTTATAGTGTCTGTTTCCTTTTTTAGTATTCTCTGTCTCCATTCATAGTCTCTCCTATTTCCTTCAGTGCTTTTATCACCCCCTTTTTGAAGTCATGATCTAGTAGATTGTTGAGGTCTGTCTCATTGTTCTTTCAGGGGACTTCTTTTGTTCTTTTAATTGGGAGTGGTTCCTCTGCTTCGTTTTACGTATATTTCTCTGGCTGTATGGATTTAGGAGTATCAGTTATCTACTGTGGTCTTGAAGGGCTGTTTTTTGTTGTTGTTTTTATTTATTTAAAGTGGGAGCATTCCTGTGTAGACTGTGTGCATCTAATAGTTTTGGTGCAAGGGCTGTTCTTAGTATGGATGGTTGCCACATCTTTCTTCCATGTGTGCGGTCTTTGGTCCCTTTGATTGGGGGTGTGGTTGGTGCCATGGCGATAAGAGCCTGCCCTGAGTGTTGTTAAGCAGGGCCTCTCTTTTTGTTCTGTGGTCACAGCCTTGACAGGGGCCGGTCTGCTCCCCTGTTGCTGGCATAGAGGCTTCTAGACCCATTTCTGAGCTGTGGTGTGTGGTGGGCAGGGTTGGAGGGCTTTAGCTGGGAAGAAGAGTCGCTGAGTGTACCTCCACAGGAGATGTGCGCTGGGAGGTGCTTTCTGTGGTGCTGTCTGTCACTTGTTATGTGGGCTTAGAAAGTGCTCTTTGTTGATACTGCATCTGTCCCTGCCTTAGCTGTGGGAATGTCAGCTACCCACTCTGGTGTCCCCCAGGTTTCTGGGCCCCAGGAACCACTAGCACAGACCCACCAGTGTCTGGTGCTGGGAGCCGCCGTAGTGAGTGTGCAGTGACACACCTGAATCCGTGGTGCCACAGGGTCAGCACAGACCTCAGCCCCGCCTCTGCATACTGTATAGTACACCCGCCCCCACCGTTTGGAACTCGCTACCTGTTCCTCCCAGAGGCACAGGGTCCAGAGAGCACAAATCCGCCCTCTTTGCCTGGGGCTGTGAACAAATCTCAGTCCCCGCTGTAAAGTTGCAGGGCTGCTGGGTATGGATTCAGCTTGCAGCCCTGTCTCCATGCAGCAGCAGTGGCTGTGACCGAGCCCCACCTCTCTTCTCGAGAGAACACACCAACAACAGAGCCAAGTGGAGAAAGCGGTGATGGCACAGCTGCCTCACCCTCCTCCCTGCCACGAACACCAGCAGTGGTACCTTTTTATGGAGAGTCCCAAGCAGTTCTCCACACACACCCCCAGTCAGAGCTCACACCACCCTCCAGTCCCCTGAGGCTGCCTCTGTGCTGTGGGCCCCGGCCCTCTGCCCGGGCTCCTCACCGATCTCCAGCAGCAGGTCCCACCTTGTCCCTGCTGGCTCGTGTGTAGGGCCAGGGATCGCAAGGACCCTCCATGCGAGTTTATCTTCGTTTTGTCTGCCAAGAAGCCAGCACATTCTCCTCTGAGCCTCGGAAGCTCCACTTCTGACCCCCACTGACCTCCTGGCTGGAGAGGATGTGTCCCAGCATGAGGGTGCCTTTCTTCCTTTGCCGCTTGCTCCCTGCAGGACCAGTCCCGCACTGATTTTTTCTTTTTCTTTTTTTCTCTTACTGGATTTTGTGAGAATCCTCCAGTATTTCAAAGCGAGGGACACTCTGCCAGAGTTCAGTAGGTGTTCTGTGCAGTTCATTGGGTTTGTAGACATAGTTCTTGGTGTATTCGTGGGAGAGGGCGACCTGGAGTCCCTGTACTCCACCATCTTGGCACCTCCCCTAGACTGTCAAATCTTGAAGTCGCCAGTATAGGTACTCTGGACTCACAAAATACTCTTAAAATGCTAACAATTATATCTAATTCATTTTTAGTTTAAAATTATATTTTAATAACCTATATTCTTATTTTCTTTTATCTTATTATGAAATTCTTGATATTTTTGTTTCCTTGATATTTGCCTTATTCATCTTTTAATGAAGTGTTTTTCTTTATTATTATAGTCATCACCTGAAGATGAAGTCCAGGCTGGGACACTTGACACAGCAAAAGAAATGGAGGTGATTATATTTTATGCTTTATAAGAAATATTTAAATAGAGAATAAGCTAAAAAGCCTAAATGATGAAGCTTTTATTTTAAAGGAAAAATAGCTATTGTAGTATCTCCTAAGGTAAAAGAACTCTTTTGCTTGTGGGGAATGTCAGTAATAGCTGTGCAGTCGACGAGCATGTAAACAAGGGAGCCAACACCAGTCACCACCCAGTGCCAGTGTGCGCGCCGTGGGGACACAGGTCGGAGGGCCCGGCCGCTCTGCAGAGCTGAGGGGAGCCTCACAGGGGCTTCTGGCTGAACCAGGTCTAGAAGGATGCACAGGCGTTCTCCAGCAGCAGGGCCAGGCATCCACAGCGGGTAGAACTGAACTGCCTGTGTATTGACATAAACAGATCCAAGTGTGCAGAGCGCCCAGAACGTGAGCGAGCACGGGGCACCTGGAGAGAGGAGGAAAGGTAGTGAGAACCAGATGATAGTGAGTCATACATACAGTGCTGAGAAGTTGAGATTTTATCTTTGAAGATAGGATGCTATGATAAAATGTGGAGAAGAAAGGGGCTGGAGGGAGGGGACCAGTGAAAAGCTATGGGATTTACTCAGCAGAAAAATAACTAGCATAACAATATAAAGGAAGAGAATAAAGATGTATAACAAAGAAAAATACGGTAGAACTACAATTGTCGGGAGCTGGAGCATGAGGCAGATAATATCGTTAGTTCATATCAGATGTACAGGAAAAGGAGCACACCTTTGTCAGGCAGAGAAATTTCATTCAGTTGCAGGGCTGTATGTGGTTTAGGACATTATTAGCAGCGTGTAGAAGTCATTGGTGTCAGGGTAGAATTATTGTAGTTATTAGGGTAAATGAGATCATCCAGGCAGAACTTGTAGACTGGGAAAGGATCAAATAACAGAACCTTGGAGAAGACCAACAGTTAAGGTGGGGAAACCATGAACGAATGGCATGCAGGAAAGAGTCCAGCAGTGTCAGATGCTGCACAGAAGCCCAGTAAGAGAGTCTAGCAGATGTCATTTGTCATCATAATCAGAATAATTTCAGTGAAATGGTGGGGACAAAAGGTAAGGATTCCATGAGTTAAATGAGTGGAGGAAAACTGGGACATTAAAGATCAGAGAGATGTAAGCCCTTTGAGGGGAAAGAAAACGTGAAGATGTGAGATCAAGTAAAGATAGATGCAAATGTAGATTGTATTTACATAACCATGGCATTTTTCAAGACAGAGTTGCCAAGCAACATTGTGTGCTTAGTGAGCAGACAAGAATGAAAGAGATCTTGAGAATGGGAAAGAAAGCAGGGTAAGAAGTGTATACTGAGTAGCGTTGTAAGAGCCCAGCTGAAATGGCAGACCATAAGTATGCACTGATACGGTTTTCTCCACCACACACTTGTAGGCTGCATGGAGGCAGAGAAGTTGGGTGCTCAGATGGAGCTTAGAGAACAATACCAAAGTCTAAATGGGACCATCAGCTTTTGGCGACTCATTATCAGGATTTTCCTATTCCCAAAAAGCAGTGTTAGGATTATGGAAGTCTGAGTCTTCTGATTCCACAAATAAAACTCCACCTTTTTTAGGATTTTGTTTCTCCCGTGCAATACTGTCAGCCTGGCTGTGGGCCCCAGAGGAGACCCAGGAGATCTCTTATGTTCGAGATCTTCCACAGGGAGTGCAAGTGTGTAGACGGGAACAACGTGATGCACTGTCTTAGTCAGCAGAAGCTCTTCCCGGTGCAGGAACAGGGCTTTTATCTTCAGAGTAGTGATGAGACACAGGATGCAGATTGTGTGAGACACGCCATTCCATTACAGAAGTGTGGATTCACGAACATGTCTGCCAGGATTTGGGGATGGTTTTTTAAAGGTTTTTGTAGGCATCAGAATTATAACTCTAAATAGGTGAGATAACTTGGCTTATGAACACAAGCCATCTTACTAGCATGCTCATTCTAGCACTGTCAGGGCTTAGCAGGCTCAAATAATTTTTTTTTAAGCAGGTTACAGAAATTGAGCCACCAGGGCGTTTAGACCCCAGTAATCAGGACAGGCTCACAGCGCTGAAAGCAGTAACAAACTTTGGAGCTCCAGTTGAAGTCTTTGACTCTGAAGGTGAGTGTCTCCTGAGGGTTTGAAGGAAGCACTTCATGACACAGGCAGTCAAGATTTAATGTCACACCAGCACAGATGAACACAGCCGTTCACTATAGGAGCACCTTGGTGGCCACGTGTCAGTGAAGAGTAAAGCATGTCTGTGGTATTGATTTCATCTGAGGGGGATTACTCCTTTGAGGAGAGAAGACTAACCAATAAATAGGAAAACCCCAGGGCACAGTACTCAGTTTACTGCATAAGATCAAATACAAATATGTCCATGTGGTCTTTAGTAAGTTATTTTTCTTACCACCCAGAAGCTGAAGTGTTCCAGAGGAAACTTGACGAGACCACCAAACTGCTCCGGGAGCTCCAGGAAGCCCAGAATGAGCGCCTGAGCACAAGACCCCCTCCCAACATGATCTGTCTCTTGGGTCCCTCATACAGAGAAATGCATCTCGGTATGTTGTACCTCCAGCAAGAGGAGAATTGGGGTGCTTAAAGGAGGAACTCTTGAGTTGTGGTGCCACTGGGAAGTAACCCTGAAATATTCTTGGACAGGTTTTTTTTTGCATTTCTATATTTATTGGGCTTTTGTTTTTTTTAGTTATCTAAAGGAATCACATTTCAGTACCTTGAACTGTGTTTATATTGATTTTTTTTTTCTTTCTAGCTGAACAAGTGACCAATAACCTTAAAGAACTTGCACAGCAAGTGACTCCAGGTGATATTGTAAGCACGTACGGAGTCCGAAAAGCGATGGGGATTTCCGTCCCTGCCCCGGTCACTGAGAACAACTTTGTAGATTTAACAGAAGGTACGTGCCCTGTGTCCCTGGGAGACTGGAGAGCTAATAAGTGTGAGTAAAAGGAAACATCAGTCCTCTCCCTCCAAGTAACATCTGAAAGGTTTTGTTCTGCATGTTAACGTATAAACTGTTTTAGTTTTCTTTCCATCTTGTCTAAAGAATAAAGATTCCATACATTTGCAAAAAAAAAAAAGCTACAGTGAGTACCTAGTCTTGACCCTTTAACATGGTAGAGAAGTGCTGTCAAGTTACTCTTCTTTTCTTTCACATCCTTTTTTTAACTAAAAGGAAAAAAGGCTGAATGAAGGTTCCCCCCCCCCCCAGGTTTTGAAGAACCTGAAAAGACTGATGTTACTGAGTGTGGACCTGATGGGATTTGAAGCTAACTGGTATTTGAGTAAATATTATGTATATATTTTTTTCATTCTTAACTTGGACATGCTTTTCAGAAGATATTAAATATTTGTAAATTGTGTTTTTAATTAAACTCTGGAACAGTTAATTTTAATGTTCCAGAGGTTGGACTTCTGTCAGATAATAAAGCTGAACCTGGGGCTGTGAGCTGTGTTGTGCATGTCAGCTAAGTTACCCCTTCACCTTCCTCGGGGGCTGAATCTGAGGATGAAGTGATAGAGGAAAGCTTGGAAAATGAAACAGCCTTTTACATGATGATCCATTAAAAGAAGTTCCTCCAGATAATTGAAATCCCTCATTTTCTACATCTGCCATACTTTTCATTAAGGAAATTATAACCAAATGTTTCCTAACTTAACAGATTACACCTTGATGATTTATTCAGAAAGTGGCCTTAGGAGGAACATGACTGACCCGTCACCACAGTGGGCAGAAAGTGGGTGGGAGTAGACCTGGCAGAGTTTTCTCAGAATAAGGACAATGCTCCTTCCTTATGTTTCACAGACAGGACGGTATCTGAGAAACTCCTTAAGCATCCCCATCCAGTGAGATTTTTCCATTGTTACAGATAAAAATACTTAAAATAACTCTAGAAGTTACTAGTATGTCCCCTACATACCTGTTGGCAGTGATGTCCCCATCTAGGAGGATTAGGTAAGTGATTAGGGGCTTTCCGCTACTACCAAAAACAAATACCATCAAAAACAAACAAAAAAACCTACCAGGAGTTTCCTAGCATTAACTTACTTGGTGTTCCTCTTTGGGTGGTTTTTGCCATTTGTCAGAGGGTTATTTGGATAACGACAAATAAGATAACAAACTAACGCATTCTTGAATACACAAGGATAAACAAGCTTAAAGGAAAGTTTACATTTCTGTTTCTCACAGGTCACCTACGCCCCTGCCATGCCCCTAAACTAATTCTCATCTACTTGTTTCTGAAATGTAAAGGCCAAGTGCCTGAACAGGTTAATTCTTTAAGTAGAATACCATGTTATGTGACTCTCTTTTATAACCAGGCACTAGACTGTAGTCTAGTGTAGTGAACAGATTAAGTTTAAGACCCTGCTCAGACTGTTGGGAGACCTTCTGTAAAACACGCAGGCAGGAAGCCGTTTTATTATTTTCTTGACTTTGAAAACTAACATTTAACAAGTAGGCTGAAGGAAAATTGATTCTCTCAAAAGAGTTAAAATGACCTAATCTTCCAAAACCCTACTTGAAATCATATGCCAAGAGAATTAAAGAATCAGTTCAAATAAGTATTTATCAGGTCTTTTTAGAGTTTGTCTCTCCCGTGTAATTCAGGTGGCTAACTAATTCTTAAACTTGATCTACTTAGCTAAGGTAAGTTACCAAAGGCCAAGAAAACATTTAAATTCAAAACACTTCAGGCTATTCAGGTTTTCTAAATTGCTAATTTAATCCGTGAAAAGCTAAACAAAGTAGGAATACTGGTACTTTATAAAAATGAAATACAACATTTTGAAACAAATGTTACAGATCTATAAATATTCAGTATATAGCATAACCCCTAGTCATTTGTGTGTGCTTTCTCCAAGCATACTTCTGTACATATGTACAATGCATACAGTGGTTAATGCTCTTTTCTGTTAGGAAATTTTCTTAATAAGCCAACCAGAAAACTTCAGGTGTGACTTTTACTCACGTCAGTGAGCCCACCTTAGTAGAAACTTGAAGCAAGTCCCTGACCCCTAGAGAAGGTCAGTGTTTGAAAAGATACTTGTCCTGTCATAAAGCAGAATGACACCTATGAAGAAATGACTTGGTATTTGGAAAACAGATTTATAAAAAATAACTAAGTGGTTTTTATGGTCAGTTATACACTATGATCTGAACATTAAAAGTTAAAACCTTAATATTCTTATCCAAACACAGTACTTTCATTGGCAATAAAGAAAAATACATGAGTGGTAACCAGTTATTTTTTAAACTCCCAATTGGGATTTCCGTTGCTGGAGGAAAAAGGTAATTTGAATATTGCAAGAGTAGAAAGAAGCATGTCCCCCTCAGAGGGGCCCCGCGCACTGACGTGTGTCTCCACGGTACCAGCAACAGAACCTCCCTGACGCCCCAGGAAGGCCCTGCTGAGCAGCCCTGGTCACTGATGATTTTCAGGGTATAGGTTTCAGTGTAGTACTCACCTGAAACCAGCCCTTTACATGAAGAATTGGTGTGTAAAAAAGGCAATTTAAGTAAGGCTTATTTCCTTTACCAGCATTTTTGCCGTAAAATTCCTTTAGGACACCAAGTTCTTACGATTTATTCATACCTATTCCAGTTTCATACGGTGCACCGCACTGCCACCAGCCCGCCCAGCCCCAAGCCAGACACAGCGCAGGCTGGCAGCAGCTTCGGCTCCGGTTCCCCCGCCCGTGGCTGGGGCGGCGGCTCACCCCCGGGCCCGCTGTCCCGGGAAGCCTGGCTGCTCAGTCACCTGTCTGCAGCTTTGTGTAATCTTTCAAAGTCTCATGTTTGCAAGATTTTCTGTATAATTTCAGGGGAGTTCCTGGGTGACTGCTAGCTAAAAATTCAGCTGTATTAGAAATCCAGGGGACACTGTGGTCATGAGGCAGTGAAGTCAGTTCAGAGAGGGGACTGGGCAGTTTGGTTATTCCTTACCTGGAAACACAGGCTGACTTCTTTCGATTCTTTCCGAGTTGAAGCACTGTTAAGACCCCATCTCACAAACCTAGTTTTTAGCACTTGCCTTGATTCTTTTGGTTCAGAACAAGACCGTCTCAGCATTTGTGAGAGGGCTGCAGACATGGGAACCTCTGTACATGCTTATGCTGGGTAGCACGCCTTTTAGTTTTAAAGCTCTTCAAAACACTAGCTAGCTCTGAGGACTGAAGAGAAGGAAGGAAGTACTGCAGGTTGTCCAGGTTCTCTCGCCACAGACCCACGCCTTTCTGATATAAAACTGAGACAGAGCTGAAGATTGCAGGGGGCGCTTAAAAATGCAGGAGGAGTCAGGGAAGGGCTATGGGCTTATACCTTATTTCCTAGGCTTTTCTGCTTACTGAACCTGACCTCAGAATGCTGGCTTCAGAGTTGTCTGATTCGAAGCCTAGGCTGTGCAGGCTCCTTGCCTTCCTGCTTTGAGTCACATTCCTCAGAGCTCCATCCCACAGCTGAGCTGATCGCTGACGCTCACACTGGACAGTGGTCCCACTTCTGTGCCAGCGGGTACAAAAGCAAAAAACTATACTGGAGGGAAGACAATTTGTCTAGCATCCAGGAAGTAATTAAAAAAGATGATACTGCCATTAATAATGTATCCACTTAAAACAAACACATGCCAGAGATGGCAAGAAGTCAGAAGTGTCCCTTGTGGGGTTTTCTCCTTACTGCTTGAAACCATGTATCGATTTAAAACACCCTTTCAACTGTTTACCAGAATGCCTGTGTGAGAAATGTGGAATCTTGTAGCTGATCTGCTGGGGAGACGGGAGCCCCCTAGACTAGAAAGGGTGAGTCTCGCCTGCACAGCGTACAGGCCGCGGCCAGGGGCGTGTGTGCTCTGGGTCGTGCTCTGACGTCTCCCCCACGGCGCTAAGGGGATGAGGGTCTCGAGCTCACAAGTGAGCCCTCTCCTGCTGTGGTGGAGGACGTATCGCAGAGAGGTTCTGGCTGCCTGTGCAGGGTAAGGCTCGGGAGCCGCCTCAGGCCACACGTTCTGAGAAATCCTCTCGTGCAAGTCCAAGGAAGCCACGCAGATCCACCAGCCAGGGTGGTGGTGGCCATGCCCTTGGAATGCCTTTATGACTGGTGTGGGGCTGCGCCTTCCCCCTGGCTTGCTTCAGGGAAGGAAACCGGCTTCCAGCATGTTCTGCATCCACCAAAAGCCCTCAGTTCAACCCCAACCCTTGAAACTTGGCAGTATCTGTGCAGACAAAGTAAGTCCTCAGTTCACCCTTGCCTTTGACGTTGATGAGTCCGCGGCATTCGCAAGAGTAACCTAGTCCCTGGAGGATGGTACAAGTCTCTTCCGTAACCTGAAAAGGAAAAGAAGGCTAAGTCTTCAGAGGCAGGAAGAAAACCTGCCGTGGGAGGGACAGACAAAAGTTGGCCGACAGGCAGCACACGTGTCTGGTTTCCCTCAAGAATTTTGTTGCTGGAATCCCACAGCTGACTGACACCGGGTTCCCTCACCTCTGCGAAGGTCTCTTCCCCTTGGGTACAGGTTTCCCCAGGTGAGTTTTTACCTGGATTTTCCCAAGTTCTCCAGTGCTTTCCATTCGACTGGCGACATTGACCGTGTTTCCCCAGATGTCGTACTGAGGTTTCCTTGCCCCAATCACTCCAGCAATCACGGGCCCGTGGTTTATGCCTGAAGATAATGTTTGCAGTTGGCAGATCATAGAGGCAAACCTCAGGCTTGTAAGGCCACAGAGTCCACCCGGCAACCACAGAAAGCACTGACAGAGCACAACTGAAATGAATGTTGGAACAGTGCTTCCTGAGCCTGGGACAGGAGATGGTACTTGGATATGAGGAGGGCGAACCCTGACAGTTCTTTCTCAGACTCTGCTTTACTAGAGGAGAGGCTTGTGTCCAGTGTTAACACTTTCCTCGTGTCTGCTAACTCTTAGCGAAGAGTGAATAGGCTTTGGGCACTGACCCTTTTAGCTAACTGACTAGTTAGGTTACTGACTTTGCTTTGTTCTCAGTGTATTTTAAGGTCACCTGCTTACAGCCAGGAATCTGAGCTTTGCCTTCTCTGTAGTGATATATTCGTATTTATTTAAGACTTTCAAAAATAACTTTATAAATAGTATGCAAGGAGCAACCGGGAAATCGCTGGGGTTGTAGGGTCAGAGAGAATTCTGCAGCTTATCGTAACTGATAGCAGTGCACACTGGGCTGAGAGTGGGCTTGCCAGGAGGCAGGGGCTGCACAGTCCCACCCGCCTCCCCGGGGCCTCACCAACGCGGAGGCGGAAGGAGTTGAAGGAGTGCCGGTTGATGCCGTCCAGCTTGCTCATCAGGGCGGTGCTGAACTCCACCATGATGCCGATGTGGGCGTGCTGCCGCTCCAGGTCCTGCGGACAGAGCGCTGCATGTGGGGCTGGGGCCATTTCACCTGCCTTCTTGCCTCCACCAGGTGTTAGGTGAACACTCCAAAGCCCCCTGAGCTGGTAAGCGCTGTGCCCGAGCCCGGCCATGAAACCCATGGCGGAGGTAGGGGGGCAGGCATTGATGGGACCCTCTGCAGAGGCTCCAGAACCTGCTCTGCCACTGAAGCTCCCCTCCTGGTGAGGGGCCACATGCCCCAGACCCTCACCAGAATCCTCCCTCAGGCTTTGTCCTTCTTCCATAGGATGGGGCATGGGGAGGTGCCCCTTTCAGGTAAAAGACAGGTCTAGGGCTGGGACGGGAGGCCACCAAGTAGGCGGAGTACCTGGTTCTCGTGCCCTGAGGGGATGCTGAGCCCTGCCGCTGCCATGTACGTGCTGCCGATGGTCTTGATCTTCTCCACACCGCTGAACTTGGGCTTTAACAGCAGCTGTAGGACGAAGGGAAGCAGGGCCAGGTGACACAGCTGCAGCCAGGGCTGTCCCAGATGCTGAGAAGGGTTAGGATTCCCTCCCAGCACCACTTCCCGTGCACACATTCCTCATGCTGGGCCCTTCCCAGCTGAGTTCACACCTCCGTCCAAGTGGGGACACAGCCTCTGGGTTCTCTCTCTGCTCCTCCTCTCATCTCTGTTCCCTGATATTCCCTGTCTCCTCCATCCTCATCTGCTCTTGGTCCTGCTAAGGAGCAGACACACCACCCAACAGCATCTACACAGGAATGTCGATTATTTGTCTGCAGCTGAGAGTTAAGCCCAAACTGACTTCCTCTGAAACAGGTTGATGACACTGGCTTAGCAGGAAATCAGACTGTTCTACAAGGACCGAAATCTAATCTAAGCAAGCTGCCCATCACAGGGAAGATAACAAAATACTTACTGAAAAAACAAAATTTGTATGTACCTTTTATAGTTTGTGTAATGTGTGTTCCTCCCAAGGGAGCCACACCATGTGTGTTAACTGGGTGCAGGACGCCCCACCCTCTCCTCCAGCTCAGGGCGGGGGTGGGGGAGCCCCGCCCGCGCAGGCGGCGGAGGTGGGGGGTTGGGGCGCACCTCATCGAAGTCAGCGATGATCTCATTCAACAGACGCAGGCACTCCAGCCCTTCGTTGTTGATGTCGCACTCTGTGTAGAACACTTTAAAGTCCGGCACAGACGCAAACATGACACACACGCAGTCATAGGACTGATGGTACCAGTCCTGGATTGGGGTGAAAAGAAGTGAGACTCTGCGGCCCCCCACCCCGGCCTCGTGTGGGGGCGGGGAAGCAGGCCCTGGAGACGATTCCGCTCCAGGAGCAGATGTTACTGGCATGGGGAGGGGGTCAGAGGTGGGGGGTGCTAAGCAGTGGTTCCCAGCCTGCCTGTACCTAAGACCCACCTAGGGGCTGTTACAGAATAGGTTTTGAATTGGTTGGTCAGGGAGAGTTAAGTTCAGGTTAGTTTTGGGCTCTTAAGTACCCTGGGTCTGTACGGCTGGGGTTGAGAACCCCGGGGCAGTAGAAGGTAGCAGGCAGGAGACCTGGGTTCCATACGCACTGGGCCTGGGTTTCCACATCTGTAAAGCTCACTGCTACACAAAATTGGTAGAAATGCGTGTTTTCATCAACAGATGGTCCAGATTACAAAGCCCTGGACATTTGCTCCTTGCAACAATCCTGCCAGCCAAGCAGTCAGCCCCTTTTTACAGATGTGAAAATCAAGGCCCAGGGCAATGAGGCATCTTGTCCACAATCACACTGGAACCCAGGTCTCTGACTCCAAAGCCTGTGTTCTTAAAGCGGATACCACCATGGCCTCCTGGGCGCACCGTGGGGCCCAAGAGCCACAGAAAGCAGGTGCAGAAAGCACGTGGCAGCTGTAACACTTCACTCCACGGGATGCGTCTGTGCCTTCAGGCTCCCTGCCCTAGTGACTGAGCCCCTTCTCGCCCACACCTCATTTAACTTGTCACCAATGAAGTGGGCGGCCACGTGGGCTGGCAGGACGTTCTCTAGAAGGAGGCGATTCACGTTCTCCATGGTTTCAAACTCCTCGTGTTCCATCTTGAACTTCTTCTTCCACAGACAGTCCAAGCGGCAGTAATAATCAATCTGCGGACAGAGGGCAGCATCAGCGTCCTGGCCACAGTGAGTGACGACAGGGCACACTTGTAACCCTGGGGGTGACGGAGTCAGCCCACCAGCACCCCCACCCTGTGCCCCTGGCAAAGGTCTCCAACTCAGTAGGCACCCCCCAGGGGCCTTAAAACCCCAGTCACCCATGACTCGAGTGACCCACAAGATTAAATGTCACTCATGCCCGGATGGGAGGTAAGGACACTTACTCAGGACCCCAGACCCAGGGGCCAGAGCTTCCCTAAAGACTGCTGTCTTGCGTGCTGCTCCAAATCTGAGGCAGCCCCAGCCCCAGCCCCAGCCCGTCCTCTCTCCAAGTAGAGACAAAAGCTAGGGATGCAGTGGGCGTTTCCAGGCTGTACCTGTCTGGAGAGCATGATGAGGGTGGTGTAAAACAGGACCAGGTAGAAATTGATCATTGTCTTCAGATCCCACGAACAGGATGGGGGGCTGCTGGATGAAGGGGAAAGGCAGGTGTCGCCTCCAGTTCCCCTCAAAGCCCCCCAAGCACAGGAGGTGGCAGGGGCCCACAGTGCCAGCCCGCAGGCAAGTGAACAAGAGGGCAGAGATCATGTCCTCATGCTTAGCAAACAAGACGGCTTCAGGTTGTAGAGAAAAGAGTGTTGTGGGATGGAGGTTGACAGGGAGATAGGGGAGGCCTCTCTGAGGTGACACCTGAGCTCACACCTGGTGCAAGGAAGAGCCATGGCAAAGTCTGAAGGAAAGTGCTCCAGGCAGGCGGGGGAGCAGCCAAAGGCAGCCAGAGCTCCTGCAGGTGAGCAGGGCTCGCAGGTCGGCAGGACTCTGCAGGCACAACCTTGTTCTGGGTCCCCAAGCTTCTGCCTTTTAGTCAAAGGGGAGCCAGGCCCCTCTCAATCCACTTGAGGTCCAAAGCCCCCCGGAACCATGCACACACACCAGACCCTCCCATCTGTCTGGGAATAGACTATAGACAGCGGCTCTTTCCAGAACTCTGGAGATCCAGGACACAGCTCAAAGCAGGGAGCTGGGCTCGAGCTGAAGCCTTGCCTCCCCGCCGCTCCCCCAGCGACCAGCCAAGAGACAGGATGACCCAGGTGGCCTCTGTGGGACCAGGGACATCCCCCTGCAAATGAGTCACACTCAGCTCTGAGTCTTGCACTTCCCCTCTGTGAAGTGGAAACCATGCCGCCTGCCAGACCACCCCACAAGGTGTCCAGTCCAGAGGGGACTATGAATGCAAAAGCACCTCAGTTTGAAATGACACTGAGACAAAGCAAAACAAAAAGTGCTGCAATTGGCTACAGTCAAGACAGGCAGGGGGACTGGGGTCCCGGCAGTGAGTGACTTGGGCCCCACCTGAAGGTGCCATTGGTCTTGGTGAGGTTGCTCGGGCTGTGGCCACAGCAGTCCCACTGCCAGCATGGGGAGATGTTGAAGAGCACCAGGTAGGCCACCAGGGCCACTGTCAACAGCACGACCTTCAGCTCCAGGCTCATCCGCAGGAAGACAGAGCAAGCGATGAAGGCCAGGATGCAGCTGCAGGTGTAATACTGGGAAGACAGGGATGTTGGTCACCTCACCACCTCCCGTCACCAAGAGGCACCTCCTGGACCAGTGGTCACCAAAGGGAGGGGCACCTTTAGCCATGGGGGAACCTGGGAAGAGCCAGTGTGTCCTCAGCATCACTCTCTTGCCTTGTTGACCTCCCTTAACAAAGAGCAGGCAACAGAATTTAAAATGTTTTAGTATTGTGTTGTTTTTACTGTATTCTTATTTCTAATTATGGCAAGAGAGCTCACTTCAAGGGATAAAAATGTACTAAATAAAAGTGCAGGTGGGGTGTGGCTGTGACAAGGTCAGGGCAGTGGTCTGAGTTCTGCGATGAGTTGGCCCTTCCCAAAGTGCATCTCTGCCCATGTTACTCTCCAGCTCAAGATCATGCTGTGGCTCCCCACTACCCGTAGAATAAAGACCAAGTTCTCACACTCCACTCAGAGCTGGATCAAACCTACTTCTGGCTTCATCCCCAGTTCTCCCCCACCTCCTCCCCATGAAACACCTGAAACCTACTGTGTCCACTAGCTGCCTCAGCTTTTGCTCGCTGTCCCCTCTCCCATCCCCCCATTGCATAACTTTCTGCCCTTTAGAGACCAGCTCAAATTCACCACCACCACCCTCAAGTCCCACAGACCTCATCCTGTCCAGGAGGGCGCTCCCACCTGGCTCTAGTGCCTGTGAGGTAAATGCATCAGCCTCTGTGCGCCCGCTTCCCTGTTGATGCCGTGGAGGTCACGACAGGTGTGGTCAGGAGAGAGCCACCAGCAGAGGGTGCTCCCACCCTCTCACCTTCGACCCAGCATGCCAGCACCTGGATCCCTCAGCCCATGGGCCCTGCTTTCTCGGCCTCCCCTGGGAGAGGCTGGACTCAGCTCTTCCACACCCGTCCACACAGGGGCCGTCCCAGTGAGGACACACTCACCGGGAGAAGCTCACACAGGGTCCTCTCTCGGCTGCTGATGGCCCCCTGGCCTGTCTCGTTCCCAGCAGGCAGCACCGGGACCGGGAAAGGCATCAGTGGCTACAGAAAAGACAGGTCCCCATGAGGGGTTGTCCAGGGGCTCCCGGCTGGGGATCTGGAGGAGCCAGAGGGCAGGGCCTGGGCCTCCATGAGCACCGTGGGCATCTCCCGCCAGGCCCAGCTCTAAGCTTAGCACAGAGCCATGGAGCCCCGACTTCCCACCGCAGCCGGCAGCTTCAATGCGGAGAGAGGGTATCAAAGGAAGACATGTGGACACCACCCCCAGAGCCCTGTCCCAGAGGCTGACTCGGCGGGAGAAGCTGGGAGCAATGTTTTCAGTGAGGTCCCTTCTCCCCAGGTGATGCTGAGGGAGGGGATCACAGAGTCCAGAGTGCAGGGGGCGGGGAGTGCGGGAAAGAGGCACTGACTCCGGATGTCAGAGCTGGGGGGACGGGCCAAGACAAGTGCCATCTCAGCATGGAGATCTGAGCCCGCCCGAGAAGCAGGCCCCAAGCTCATGCTCATGCTCAGGAAACTGGGTCTTGGAGAGGCTGGGCCGGGACCTCCTCCCAGGGGGCTGAGAAGAAAGACTGAGATGTTCACGAGGACATTGTGGCAGCTCAAGACAGCTCACCCTATGAGCTTGGCCGCACGAGCACTCTAGGGGCGCCAAGTCCTCATGTGACAAATGCAGGGTGAGGAGCCCTGAGCTGCCAGACACTCCACAGGGCCCGCCCATGGGGCTCTGGATACGGTCACGCCAGATGCCATTTTTAGGCAACAGGATTATAGGATTCTAGAATCTAGCTCCCAAGGTCAGAGACTGGCTCCCTCCCCCAGGAAGTGTGCACGGCCCCAAGGGGTCCTTGCCAGGCCTGCCTTCCCCCACCCCCAGAACCCACCAGGTTGATGACGGCGATGGTGAGCAGGCTGCCGATGGTCAGGACAGCCAGGGACACCCGCAGCAGGGGCTGTGTCTCCACCCTCTCAGAGATGGCTCCGAGCGTCCCCCAGGCCGGGCAGCACCTCTGTGGAATCACAGGGTTGAGTCAACCAGCACCCGCAGCTGCACCCGCACCCGGAGGTCAGGGAGAGCCTGCTGGAGGCCTGGCCAGGGCGCCCCCATCCCAAGGGCCCTGAGGGCATGAGAGCTTCTGAGACCTCCGCTGGGGAGAGTCAGGTGGTGGTGTGTCCCCAGCCTGGAGCTCAGGACACATGTGGAGTGCAGACAGAAGGGACATCCCCACCCCTGGGGCCAGGGACAGCCACAGCCGCTTGGGGACCACTAGCACCTAGGAAAGAGACTCCTAGGAGAAGCCTCTGAGCACTCAGCAGATTATCCTGGAGGCGAGAGGGGCAGAGCTCACAGGGAGGGGTGGGGGGCTGGGGGACACCAAGGTGGGGGCAGGGGCAGTGGGGCCAGGCTCCCACCACACAGCCTGGCACCCGGTCAGGGGCCTCCCCACTCACCAAGAATTTATCCACAAAGCACAAGCCTAGCACCAGCCCCAGCACGCAGGCCACCAGCCCAAAGGACACACCCAGAGCTGCCACCCTGGAGGGGACGGAGAAACACAAGTTCTGGGGGACCCTCTGCCCAGGGCCAAGCCTCAGGCAAGCTCCCCATCCCCACCACCTCAATTCGCCTTCTGCCCCCTCGAAACAGCTACCTATACTCAGCCAAAGGGGAGCCTCTGAACACCATGGTCCAGCTGCCCCACCCACAACACACGAAGCCTGGCCAAGACTCCAAGACCAAGGTCAACATCACACCCCCCTTTCCGGGCCAAGTATATAAGAAATGGGTGACTGTACAGCCTTTAGGCTCCTGTCTGGCACATAAGTACCATCTGAAAGTGTTTCCTGTTTTGTCTTTATTAAGCACATCCTAAACCACAATCCTAGTGGACCCTCTGGCTTAACCACCCTTCCAGAAGCCATCAAGTAGCTGACCTTACTCCCTCCCTGCGACCTCAGCCCCCTGTCCCTGCCCCTGCCCCTACCAACAGAGCCTTTGGCAGAAGCAGGAAACGGCAGCTCCTGTGTCCTGGCCCCACACCCTGAATAAGGCATTAACCCCTGTGAGCCTCAATTTCTCACATCTAAGAAAAAGATGGTGATGGCTATGGTTCTGGGGAGCTGGACCTTCTAAGGCCCTAAACACCTAAGGTAAGGCAAGGGTCACAAACTTAAGTGCCCACAGGGCCACACAGATAACAGGTGACTTTGAAGGTGAGAGGCATCTGGGAGTGGGGAGGCCTGCAGCATGCCATTCAATTAAAACAAACAAACCAAAAACACCCAACCAGGTTCGTGGGGCTCGAAGGTATAAAGTTACTAGAGTTACTAACTCTAACAGCAGCCCCGTCCCGCCAGTCACAAAGCCCCCTGCAGGTTTTCTAGCAGGTTCTGCAAGGTCACCACCCCTCCTAGCCTGACCCCAGTGGGCTTGACCACCGGCCCACTCCGCCACTGACCTGGGCATCAGCAGGACGTGGACGAGCAGGATGCAGATGAAGACAAGGCTGGCACAAGCAAAGTAGTAGCGAGCCCGGGGGATGGGCGCCAGGCGGTACTGGGGGCAACAGACACTGTGAGGGGTGGCTGGGCCGCTGAGGCCCCACCCGCAGGGCCACTTGCTCTGACCCCTTCTCGGGCTCCACCCTGGCTCCAGTTAATCATATCACAAAAAAAAAAACTTACACGCCCTCCTTGACTTCCAGGGGACAATGTTACATTATCATGAACAAAAAATTTTCATTTGTTTCCATTTTACAGTTTCTGGTTTATAGTTAGAGGGGATACCTTCCCCTCCCCTACTCCGCTCAGATCTCTGCCTTTATTTCCAAGGTCCCTGAAAAGCCCGTGTCTCAAGTCCATGGACAAGAGCCAAACGTGAGCTCTGGGGCTGCTGCGACTGGGGTTAGTGGTGGGTCTGTTCTCATCCCGAACCAAGGAGCAGGGCCAGGCCTGAGCCCCGAGCTGCCGAGTGGGGGACCCTGTGCTGCCCGGCCCTCCACTCCAGGCACCATCTCAAGATCTCAGCCCACAGGGCTCCTGCCGCAGATGAGCAAACTAAGGCTCAGGGAGCCCAGGCCACACAGCCAGTGGAAGGCCTGCCAGGTGGCTCTGCTGTTCACCACACCTCCCTCCAGACCCCACGTTCCCCGTCTAAGGAGCCCCTTCAAGCCTGGAGACTGCAACGGCCGAGAAGTCCCAACACCAAAGTGCCTCTCAGATGGGCTATGCCTGAGGCCAAGACACCCTGAAACCTGAAAGTCTGCAAAATGGGTACCAGTGCCCACCTTGGCCAGCGGGGTGAGGGTGGAACGACACGTGTGTGCCTTGGATGTTGCCAGAGCCAGCAGGCACTCAACAAGTAAGGGGGTGGCCACCAGCATGGCGCTACAGCAGCCAGACGGGAGGGCCAGCCAGGCCCCATCGATGCTGAGTCTGCGTTTGGGGCACTTCCTTACAAAGGCCAACGTCGTCAGCCTGAGGCGTGTGCTGGCCCGTATCAGCTGAGGTTCTGGCTGGCACTGGAAGGGAGCAAAGTCTCCCAAGCCAAACGGGCGAACTACTGACAGGGACACGCCAGGTTCAGAGGTGAGGCGGACAGGAAGAGAACCCAAATGGGGCTGGACTGAGCCCCATCCCCGCCCCAATGGCAGCTGGCGCGATCCCGCAGCACGCTCCCTGAGGGCTGTTTGCTGCCCCGTAGCTGGGACCCCCACCCCACCTCAGGCCTTGGATCCTCCATTCCCGGGGCCGCTCAGAGGTCCTCACCTCTCGCTCAAAGCCCTTCTCTAGGAAGATGGACCCAAAGGGGTAGAAGTCATCAGACTTGGAGCAGCAGGGCCTGTGGGGCACCAGATACGGACAGTGAGAGATGGGGAGAGTCGGGGAGAGTCGGGGAGGAGACCCAGCCTCAGGAGGGGAGTGGGAGCGGGGAGGGGAGTAAGGGCTGGGTGGGGGCCACCCTCAGGGGGGAGAGGGGAGCGGTGGGTGGAGGACCAGGCCTCGCCCTCAGGAGGCAGCACCGTGGACACAGCTGGACCTGGGCATGAGGCACGAGGCAGGCCTGCGCACACAGGGGTCCATATTTGAGGGGGACAGGGGTAAACGGAGGTCTCAGAGCCTCACCTCGTGGAGCTGAGCCCCTCGATGGCTGACAGCATCTCATCATCATATGAGTCATCCTCTGACCGCCCCTTAGGGGACGCACTTCTGGAATCAGACACCCACAATGGTATCACCCCAGGGACCCATGTCCACTCTCCCAGAGGCAGGGTGTGGAGCAGATGATTCACCCAAGTGGGGATCCCAGAGCTTCATGCGGGATAACGGAGGGATAAGTGGGTTCCACTGAGGCCCAGAGAGGGCAAGTGAAGGCCCAGCATCACACAGCATTACCCAGCTGGCCAGCAGCCCAGGAAGAAACAGAGGGCAGACTCCTAGCCTGCAGTGCAAGGCCTTTTCCACTAAACCTCAGAGTTCCCTCCCACTGACTCCACAACCCCACTACAGGGTGGGTACACAACAGGCACTCAATCATTGTTATGCTCTGGTTCTTAGAAACACTCTGAGCCAAGCCACGACAAAACCCAGGGTCAGGGCTGGGCCTCATGGATACGCTCTCCTGGACAGAGGCTGGTCAGGGTAGCCTGCCTGGAGAAGGTGACTGGGACAGGACTTGGTCAGGTAGGCAGGGGCCAGGACACGTACCTGTCAGGGATCCGGTGGCGCCGCAGGGGGATGGCCTGGAAGGGAAGTGGGGGGAGGTGGTTATTCTCCAGAACTCAGGGCCCTGATGCTCGTCCCAGGACTGGGCCTACCAACCTCTGGCACTCTCAGATGCACAGGCAGGGTGCTGGGGACTGTGCAAGCTGCAGACACCCAGAACTGAAGCTGAGCTTGATCTGGGGAACCAGGAGGCCAGGATCAACCCCAGCCACCCCAGAGCATTCTCCAGGTGCCTGCAATTCCCCAGCCTACAGGTGGAGCGAGTGAGGTGAGGCTGGGATGGAAGGCCACCCTTAGCATGCGCTCTCCTGGCCCCTTCCGGGGCCCCTGTTCCCAGCTCTCCGGGAGGAGGGGTCCTACCTTGGGCCTGCGCCCATTGGGGACAGGGTTCTCGCTGCTGCTCACACTCTCACGTTGGTTGAGGTGTGCGAAGGGCCGCGCCGCCCCCCAGGACTCCAGGTAGCGGGTCATGCGCACAGACGCCCGCATCTTCAGGGCTGCATCCCCCTTGTTGTGCTTGTGGAGGTGCTGGCTGGGCGGGGGTGGCTGCTGGCTCTGCGGGCAGACACAGACCCAGCCTCTCACCCCTCGGCTCTCAGCCAGGAAGGGGCTGCCACCCGCTTCCTGCTCCCCGAGAAACACAATGCCACCCAGAGCACCGGCCCATCGGGCAAGAAGGGAAAATGGCCAAAAAGAAATCTGCTGGGTCTGCAGCCCTTTGGGGACTGGAGGAAGTCCAGCGTGCTACTTGGCTGGGCTCAGGGGGAGGCCCCAGCTCAAGGTCCTGTCCCTGCCCCAGGCCGGGGAGAGACTGGGGGTCACACAACTGCACAGTCTCTCAGACCTTTCTCAGCATCCAGGGCAACAGACAGGGTAACCTCCTCAGCCCGAAGGCCCCACTCGGCCTGTGAAGCTCCTTGAGCCTGAAAGCTCACCCGCCCCTCCGCGTCAGGCACCCCGGGGAGATGGCGCCCAGGGAAGCCACAGGCATCCTGCCCAGCCCACCCCCATGTGGCAGACACATGTCCCTCCTGTGGGAGCAGCGGGAGGAAGAGGAGTGCTAGCTGGCAACCCGGAGAGATGCCAACCCCAAGCCCCCACCATGGGGCAGCCTTCCAGGGCGTTCCACCCGTACGGCCTGCAACCCACAGCACACGTCTGCTACCTGCCACGTGCCTGCCATGGCCGTGCCAGGGACATAATGGCTCAGCCAGGCCCTGAATGAGGAGCCCAGCCCTGCCTCCCTCACCCCAACACCCTCAAGAGCAATAACACGCCTAGGACCCTTCCCAGCTGGGGAGGCCAGGCAGGACCAGAAAAGGCAGAGGGGAGAGGAAGACCCCCAAGGCCTCCAGAGACAAGCCTGGGCCGTCTCAAGTCCCGCTGAGTCTGCCCTCCAGCGGTCCCCATCTCCTGCGGCCCCACAAACCCCCACAGGGCCCAGCACCTAGAGCCACAAGCACTCGCTAAGCCGCAAGCAGCAACTTTCCTGGAAACCTCTAGCCTCCTTCTGGGATAGAAACATTTTTAAACCCTGAGCTGCATCTGTCTGCCAGGCCAGAGGGAATGGCATGGCATTCAGCCCTTGTGAGGAGAGTCCTGAGAATGTACCTGGGGTGAGGAACCCCCGAGGGGCCCGGGGTGGGTCACATTTCTCAGTCTCCCCTTCCAATGTCATCAGTTCTGCCTACATGGCACCCAGCTGTTTAAGTTCAAGGTCACTGGCACTCCTCTCTTAGGGCAGGGGGACAGACACCTGCCCCTGAAAATGAAATGTGTACTGAAGACCCAGGCTGGGGACAGGGAGAACACCTGTGACCTTCACCGGCCACGGACACCCCCACAGCCACCTCTGCACGCTCGTCTCCGAGGTCCTCACACATGTAAGCCTACAGAAGCCAGGGCTGGGCAGGACCTCCCTGTCCACCACGGGAGGTGCACCCGAGCATCCTTGTGGTGTGTGCTGTGCAGTAGTGAGAAAAGATGAGGGTGGTCTCTGTGCACAGAAGAGAAGGTCTCCAAGCTATGACGTCTGGTGAAGAAAGCAAGTACATGCCGGTGGGGGCCGAGCTACAGCAAGGAGGCAGACAAGGATCTCCATCTACTTACATGTGCACAGACACCTTCCAGAGGAAGGAACTCAACCACGTGGGTCCCCTTTACAGGGAACGTGCTGGCTGCGAACAAAGATGCACGGAAAACTTTCTACAACATGCCCCTCATGCTTTTTGAATTTTCAACTATGTGAATGAATAAAATTAAACAACGATGAGGGAGGTAGGGGTGCCAGATAAAATACAGGATGCCCAGTTAACCCTGCATGAGACACTTCATTCATTCACAAACTATCTGGGCACCTGCTCCATGCCAGGCATTGTTCTAGGCACAGGGGTGGAACCTAGAGAAGGACCTCCACCCTGAGCCTGCCCACATGGAGCTCACACTGACAATACACAAGTGAAAAAGGATGAACCGGAACATGGGGGATGGGGGAGGAGGGGTCTGGGCAGAGGGAGCAGCAGTGACTCCCTGCTGTGGAGGATCCTGCAGTGGAAAGAGCTTGGCAGTGGAGGGACAGGAGGATGGCACGGGGCTCCGAGCTGTGGGGACAGAGTGAGGGGCTGGAGGGTTTCCATGATGATGGGCTGGGAGCAATGTCAAGATACCCAGGAGGCGTTTCCCTAGGTGCTAACTCAGCATTGATGACCACCAAGGGCACCCTGGGAACGTCAGCAGGACAAAGCCTGAGAGGGTTGGGGAGGCTCACAGGCTGGCCCTCTGCTTCCCAGGAGACTGGCAGTCGGGCCAGCCCTGCGGACAGCCAAGGCCAGAGTGAGAGGGAGCTGGAAACGGCCAGCCGTGGCCGACATTCTTGAGTAAGCCCCAAGGATGATTCACCAAGGGCCTCCAGACAAGTTGGCCTCCCACAGGCAGGAAAGAATGGCCCCTGCAGACGCAGGCAGGCTGGGGGCAGGACCGGGCCCACCCACCTAGAAGCAGCCCCACAGCTCCCCCACCACAGGGTCCCGAAGAAAGTGGGGCTGACGTAGAAGGTGGAGGCACCAGCCAGGCAGGCGGACACGGCAGGTCAGAACCGGGACACACGGAGTCTCCTGCCCAGTGACCCTGGCCGTTCCTGGCTTCCCTGACTCTCGTCCAAAGCATGTTTTTACAACGTGTCTTTTGAAAATCTGGAAGATTAGTGACAACCTCATAGAAAATAAACTAATAGTGACTACCATTTCTAGAATGCTTATGATGCGCCCAGTTCACAAGGAGGGCTTCATCCAGCTTCTTCTCTTCTGAGGCAGGCCTGCTGTCATTCCCATTTCACAGAGAAGAACACTGATGCCCAGAGAAGGCGTCACGTGGGGCCTAGAACATACCTAGTGACGGGGTGCTCACTCCTACCCCGGGCAGGCGTCTTCCTACCTCTCCACGGCCTTGGAGAGGAGAACACTCTCCCTCCAAGGGGGCCACCCCCCAGGCGTGGGCCCAGCACAGTTCCAGCCACCCCTCCACGGCCCACCACGTCAGAGCCCGCGTACCCGGGGGTCGATGACCAGGTAGGTGCGGATGTTCATCTCCTTCAGGTAGGGGTCCCGCTGCTGCCCGTGACCATCCTCCACCTCATAAGCCTTGTCCAGGTGGTTCAGCGTTGCCTCTGTGATGTGCACCCGCCTGGGGGAGACCAGAATCAGACAGCAGCAGGGCCCAGAGAGGGCGAGCACCCAACCAGGGGTGCACAGCGGGCAGGGCCGAGCAGGCCGGAGCCCAGGCCGGCTTCCCCCACTTTGAGGTCACTGATTCCACTTCTGACTCCACCCTGACCCCCGCCCCCAGCCCGGAGTCGGCCCCCGGCATCTGAACCCACCGCCATCTGGCTGAGCCTCACCCAGGGACTCCAGCCGCCTCCATCCTGTTGGCCAGGGACACATCGTGGGACCACACGTCGTACTGCCACTTGCGCAGCCCGATGACACCGCACAGCACATTCCCCGAGTGTATGCCCACACGCATGCTGATGTCCACACCTGTGGCCTCCCGCACCTGCCTGGGGCAGAGGCCAGTCACCCCACTCCAGCCACGGCTGCTGGGGGGCCTGAACCCTGGACAGGCTCGAGGTCCCAGGTAGCGGGTGTGGCATGGGGCATGGGCAGAGCAAGGGTGAGAGGAGCGTGCGGGAACAGGGCAAGCCCAGCTCACAGGAGAGAACATTCTCAGCCTGAAGGGTTGCCTCATCAAAAAAGGGTGAGCACCCCATCTCTGGGAGTGTGCAAATGGATGTGGCTGCCTCCAAGCTCAAGGGCTGTTAAAAGGAGAAGGAATTTCCAACTGTCATTGGTCACTCACTGTGGCTCTTGCTGAGGGCCCTAAAATACTGTAACTGGGTGTTTTCCCCACCTGGCAGCCCCAGCTGGGGTCTGCAGAGGGGTCCAGGCACCACCCCAAACTCAGCAGAAACAAAGGACATGGGGCCAGCCTTGGGGGGCCTTCTACACCCCACCATCTCTAGGAAACAAGAGCACTGAGAGTTGCTAGCACCACTCAGTACAAGAAAACCCAAATTAGAGCTTTCCTAGGGCACAAGGCACCCCCAAACATGAGCAAGGCTCCTGGGTCCCTTTGACATGTGGGTGAGGGCCCAGGGAACAGCTGGTGCCCTGTGTCCACCCACACCAGGCTGGCAATGGACTGAGGCTGCCAGAGGCAAAGCCAAAGGAAGCAGAGGGTCCTGTGGAACCTCTACATGACCCAGGGACAAACTGACCCCCGGGAGGGCGGGGCACAGCCTGAGGTCGCATAAGTGGGGACATAGAGCCAGGTTAGGACACAGACCACTGACTGCCTGGCCAGTGTTTTTTCTGGTGAGATTCAGGAGGAAGACAAGCTGGAGATGGGTGTACATCGGGAAGGAAGTGTGCCCCTTCGGGCAGCCCAGCTGCACCAGCTTTGCCCCGAACACCGGTTGGTCTGGCCAAGCCCACCTGGCCCTCCGCCACCGCTGGACCAACACAGACCACAGCTGCTCACGGCTCCAGAGAGCCTCACGGGAAGCTGGGTGTTGGTGGCAAGGAGCTGAGGGAGGCTGGGGGGTCTCCCTGCAGCTCTGAGGGTGAGTTCCCCGACTCCTCGGTCTCCACAGGGGCAGCAGGAGGCAGATGGGGGCTTGGGGACAGATTCTGAGTCTGCCAGTTCCCCTGCTGCTGCAGAGGCATGGTCTCCGGAGGAAAGGAGCCCAGCTGCCCCGTCCTCAGGCCCCTCAGCTCTGAGCTTCCGAGATTCTCTGGGACTGGGAGTCCCAGGGCGCCCACAGGGAAGGGTGCAAACACAACCTGCAGAGCGGTCCAGGCAAGCCATCACCACCCCCTGAGCTCCAGTTCCCTTATCGGCAGAGTGGGGACAATGCGTTCCCCACCACGCCTTGCGGAGCAGGAGGGCTCCATGGCAGGGACAGCCCCAGTGCCTTGGGCCTGCCCGTGGTACCTACTTAATGGCCTCACACATGTCCAGCCCCATCTTCACACAGTTGCGGGCGTGGGTGGGCAGGGACACGGGCAAGCCCGACACGCAGTAGTAGCAGTCCCCCAGGATCTTGATCCGCATGCACTCGTTGGCCTGCAGGGCAAGGGAGAGGCCTGGTCAGCAGATTGCCTGGGTGCCAGGGACCAGCCACCTCCCCGCACCCCCCAGGGTGAGCCAAGCTCTTTCACGGCCAGGGGCTCTCTCCTGCAGCATCAGCCACCAGTAGCTGCCTCTGGGCCTGGTGAAAAGGTTGGAGACAGGGGCCCTCCACAGGAGCCCTAAGCAGGTATCACAGATGAAAGAAAGTGTTACTAAGGGTGGCCATCTGAGTGACTCTGGAGAAAGACTATCTTTGGTTCACTCACCCAATGAATGAGCAATCTACTGAGCAATGTTTGAGTAGCTACTGAGTGCCCTGCCCTGCCCCAGACACTGGGACGCAGCAGTGAGCAAAATAGAAAACAGTCCCTGCAGCGAGTGGCAGAGGTGGACATTAAACTAGATAAATAAAACCTATAGATACCTGTGACAATAAGTGTTAAGAAGAAAAATGAGGCATGGGAGGGAAGGGAAAGTTCCCAGGAGGCCAGGGAAGGCCTCTAAGTGAAGGTAACATTCAAGCAAAGTCCTAAAGGAAACAAAGGAGAAAACCATGCCAGTATCTGGAGGAAGAGCAGTCCAGGGAGACGGAAGCAGCATGTGCAAAGGCCCTGAGGCAAGAAAGCTGTTTGAGACATAGCCCAGCAGTCAGTGTGGGTGAAGTGGAGTGAACAGGGGAGACAGGGACAGAGAGGTAGCAGGTGCCATAAGCTAAGTGATCAGCAGATGCCAAGGTGACCCAACAGACGGCCATGCTGCTAGGGACACAGGGTTTGGGGGGCAGAGAGGAAAGAAGAAGGTGGGGAGAGAGGCTGGGATCACATATGAAAATGCACATGGAGGGGAAGGGAAGGCTCAGGCAGGCTATCTGAGTTCTCATTTAGGGTGGTGCTGTAGCCATGAGACTCCCCCTTAAGCCCTTGGCAAAGGTGGCCGCACACACAGAGGCCATGGGGGTGTGGTTTTAGAGAATAGGAAGGAGGAACTGCAGCATAAGAGCTCCAGTCTACTCCCTACTCCACCCCTCACAGAGGCCCCGGCAGACAGCCTTGCCCTCTGGCTTCTGATGCTGGGGAGGCTGAGGGCTAGAGCACTGATGCCCCAGCTCCCGCTGCAGCGTTCCAGAGGGCTGGCTGTCCCCTCCCCAAGAACCAAGACACACTCTGTCTCCAGATACATTGTCCACTCCCTGGCATGGCCACCAGGCCTGAGTGGCCACCCAGCACCAACGACCAGGCCAGGCACCAGGAGCAGCCCCTTGCTAAGCCCTCCTTCGATGACCCAGCTGAGTGTGTGCCAGCTGCTTCCCGCTGGGCCCCGTCTGGCACGTGCTGAGTTCTGAATGGCCTAACAGAGGCAGGTGAGGACAGTGCTTTCCTAGAAGCCAGCAGTAAGCTTGGTGAGGGCCAGGACACCCAGGCTCAGGCTCAGGCTCAGGGCGCCACTGGCCTTATCTCCTCCATGGCCAGGCACGGGAACGCCCTCTAGATCCAGCCCAGCTGTCAGCTGTCAGAATTTACAGAAGGCCACATTCCCCAGGCTGCTCCTCCACTGTGCTTCTGACACTTACAAACTGGAGAAGTTGTGTGAGCGTGCTGGGGGCAGAAAGTGCCTGAGCCCAGATGCAATGCGGACACCTCTGAGAGCAGGCCCTGGCTCTCACCGGGAGGTTACAGTTCTGGAATCTGATTGCCAAAAGGAGAAAAGGCTTGGTCCAGCCCTGCCTGTGTCTGCCCAGAGACTGGACACTCAGGCCGGAAGACTGGCATCTGCCACAGCCTCCCTCCTCCCATTTGTCCAATGGGGCTGCCTCCTGGGCCTGCCCTGGAGGGAGAGCTGTGTCCAAGGAGGCAAAGGCAGGTCCTTGGGCTTTGTGGCAGAGAAAGGGCCAGCTGTGGCCTGAGAAGCTGGCCCCCTGCCCCTTATAAGGCCCGACCCCTAGGAACTCCCACCTGCCGGTTCGGGAGACATCCTGAAGGAAGGAAGCTCCGAAGGAAGGCTCTAGGAGCCCCTCAGTCCACAGCACCCAGCGGGGACACCCCTGGCCAGTGGTTTCCAACTGCAGTTTGGTTAGCCCCATGACGGGAAGCTCATCCCCTGATATGGGGCCCACCTCTGGCGAGGCAGTCTCTCCCAAGATTAAGCAGCTCTGATTGTGAAAAAATCTTCCTAACATGGGGCCAGAACTTGCCTCCCATCAGGTTCTAGACCATTGATTTCCACACACGGAGTCACTTGGATGGCTCTTATAAACTGTCAAGGGTGTGGGCATAAGTACTGGTGATTTATTTAAGCCTTCCATGGGATTCAAACATGCAGCCAGGATGGAAAGCCACTACCCTAAATCTTACACTTGGGTCTCTACTTAGTGGCCACCACTTCCAGGAAGCCTTTGACCCCCGGGGGCTGGGCTAGGCACTCCCCAGTCCCACCTCCATACCCTCTTCAAACCACACAGCACGTAGGCCAGGGAGCAACTTTAGGGCAGCCCGAGGCCCATGTGAGTCCAGAGCTGCCACTCAGTGGGTCCTGGGACCATGTGGTAAATTAATGAATAACTGAGGCCCCCTCCCCACCAATACACGTGCGTGCACACATGCACACATGCACACACACACCCTGAGCTGGGTGCTGCTCACGAAGACAAAACAGTAAGATCCCAGCTCAGCCCCGTCTGGTCTCCAGACCTCTCTCACCCTGGCTGTACCCTGGAGACTCTCCTTGCCCAATGCCTTCCCCGGCTACTCTCCTCAGGGTCCTCAGGTTAAGTCCCACTCCTCACCTCAGCCCTCAAGTCCTTGCATGTCTGACCCTGTGACCTTGTCCCCTTCACACTCTGTCCCAGTCGCACTGAGCCACTTTCACTGCATGGGCAAACAGAGCTTGCTTTCTTCTCCAGGCTTTCCATGCTGTTCCCTCTGCCCATAACATTGTTCCCTTTCCTCTTCAGGTCTTTTTAAGGTTTCTCAAACTTTAATGTGCACACTATTCACCTGCAATCTTGCCAAAAGGCAGATTCTAGTTGAGGCCTGGCATTCCACAGGCCTCCAATGCCTCTAGGTGAGGCTGAGGCTGCTCACCTTGCATAGTGAGGATGGAGCATCTCCTCGTCTAGGCAGCCTTCCGGAGCTCCCGAGTCCCCATGCATTCCCTGGTGTGTACTGTCAGTCTCCCTAGTGACCTCACACTCTGGGGGACAGGATCCTGGCAGCCTCGGCCACCACTCAACCTCCACTTCGACCATGAAGGGTTCAGAAGCATTTGCTGACTGAAGGCTAAAATTCAGCCCAGACCTCCCCATGTCGATCTCAGCATAGTGCTGGGTATGGGACATCCCATGGATGTGGTGCAGGGGCTTCTGACTTTACCATCAGCAGAGGGGAGGCAGCACAGGTCGGCAGGCTCACCTTGGCAATCTGGTCGAACTTGCCGAAGAGCTCGTTCAGCACCACCACTAACTCCTTGGGGGAGCAGTCGCTGGCCAGCTGTGTGAAGCCCACGATGTCAGCGTAGAGGATGCTGAGATGGGGTGGGGCCAGTGGGAGTCAGGGCCAGCGGAGCCCCTGAGCATCCGCCAGCCCTGTATCCAAACACCCCTGTGAGCCCTCAGTCTCCACAGGGATGGAAGAGAAGCTCTGGCCATAAAGACGAATTTAAGTTCCAGAGGCTTCACGTTAAAGCAAACTCCAGTTTGTGGGGGCCCTTTGGAGCCCTCAGTCCCTTCAGAGCCCTCGCTGCAGATGACTGAACAGTGCCCTTACCTGCGGATTCTCCAGCACCCTGGAACTTCCCTCCTTTCCCATACCTGGACTTAACCTCTGTGCAGGCTTCAGAACTAAAGCCCTGGTAAGATGCGACCCCACACTCCCTCCAGCCGAGCTCCACACCCAGCACTTTCACACATCTAGTCCTCACACTGACCGTATAGGACCCCTAATCTACAGATGAGCAAACTGAAGCTCAGGGAGATTAAGACTTGTTGGGAAGCCAGAGCTGCAATCTGCATCAGATCTCCCAGCTCTAAGTCTGCAGTCCTGGATGGTCCACAGCACAGAGGCAGCGGGCCAGGCAGAGGACCTCCAGGCAGAGGAGCGGGGGGAGCTCACAGCACCTACAGCCACACCTCCCTTAGGCCGGCACAGCCAAGCTCCAACAGCCCCTTCAATTCCATCAAAGACAGGCGTCAAGGGCCCTTGGCAGCCACCGAGATCTAGGGGGGCTTCACCTCCTTTTGGGGGACCTGTGCCCTTGGAGAATCATCTGAAAAGACCCTTTTCTTCCCAATAGTCGTGTTTGTGCTCAGAGTTTAACAATCTGAGGGGGGTAGATGTCCCCAAACACCAATCTAATCTGACCCCACCCCCCCTGGGGAAATGAGTAGGAGGACCGAGGCCCAGAGAGTAGCCTGGATTACCTCCCCCCAGTCCCTGTGTGGGCTGGGGCCTGGCCTCCTGGCAGGAGGGCAGGGGGCCACCTGCCCGGGACTCCCCAGGAGACAGTGCACACGGGCTCGGCCGGCCGCCCACCTGACGTTCTGGTGCCGCTTGACGTAGAGGCTGTGGAAGTTGTTGTCGGGCAGGTAGTGGCGGTCCCCGTGCTCCTTGAGCCGCTCAATGATGGCCAGCTTCATGCCCATGGAGATGTGGGCCGGCAGCACGGACAGCAGAAGGTTCTCCTGCACATGGGGCACAGGCGGGCGACGTCAGGCCCCAAGCGACCTCTGTCCTCTCTGCCCGCCACGCCCCACAACACCACTGGCCTACATCCTGCCACCAACCGGGCGGGCACACACCCTCCCATGTCCCCAGTGGCCCCCAGGGTGAGGCCGGCATAGGTGTCCAGCCACGTGCCCCACACAGATGCTGTTCAACGAGCACGTCCTCAGAGAAAGGACACCGGGTGTGGGGCCTGGGTGATGGCTGGGGGCGGGCAGGGCCTGGCTGTGGCTCAGGGGGAGGCGGATCCCCACCTGCTGGCGCTTCTCGATGCGCAGCTTACGCCGGATCTGGATGCACTTCACAGTGTAGGTGAAGAGGTCGCGGGAGGCGTCCTGCATCTGGTGCTTGTGGAAGGCGCCCGTGAGATTCCCGCACAGGAAGACCACAGCATTGGCCAGCAGCTGCGGGCAGACCAAGCGGGGCTCAGATCCGGCCCGGGCCAGGCCCCCGGGACATTGGTCCCCCTGGAGGGCTGGTGATGGCACCCCTCCCCATTTCCTAGCCTCCAGTCCACTCAGGGCAGGCAGGGAACCTGCAGCTTAAACGTGCTGGTCGCCCAGGGAGTCACGGTGGTAACAGCACCAGGACTTAGGCCTATCTTGGCATCTGCCAGGCATTCCCTGGTGTAGAAGGGCTCATGCCCCAGAGGCTGGAGGAGCCAGCCACTTCCAGGGAGGCAGGAGCACGTCGCCTTACACAGCTCAGAACCCGGAAGACACAGCGCCGTGCTGGCTGCCCTGAGCTCCGGCCTCTGCCTCCCAGACCAGACACCAGGCCAGGTCAGGGGGAAGTCACATCTGTAAGACACCACGATTTATGCACATCACGCAACATAGAGACACAAGGCAGGCCCTGTCTGGATGGAGCTCTGGGGTGACAGGTGAAAGCTCGGGAGCAAGGGCTCACCTGACAGCAGTGCTCTAGACTCAGAGAGGCCCAAGGGGCAGGGCTCGAGTGAGGGTACCGTAGGCCAGCAAAGACAAGGCTGCAGGACAGGGCGCCTGGCCTTGAGGCTGTGTGTCTGCGAACACCTCTGCCCAAGGCCTCAAATCACTCACTTGGGCCGTGACTGCCCTCAGCCCAAACCACAGCCACCCAAAGGCCTCCGCCGGCCCCCACGCCCAGACCCCCACCACACCCCTCACCTGCAGCCCCAGCCGGACACTGGGCGTGGTGAAGGCCCCCATCAGAGTGCCGAGCACCAGGAGGTGGGAGGTGCTGGAGACAAGGCCTGCCACGACGGCGCCCTGCATGCTGAAGGGCAGCAGCGTGTACACCACGAAGACGATGAACAGGAAGAAGGGCACCTGCGGGCGGGGTGTCATGAGCGCAGCCCGCCACGCCGCCCCCGCCCGGACACAGCCCAGGGCTGGGCCGGGATCGCCCCGCTGACTCTCGTCTTCCGGGCTTGGCCCCAGAAGCCTGCACACTAAGTCCTCCGCAGCCAGTCCAGGCGGCAGGTGCCCTCTGCCCTCAGCCCTCAGGTCGGCCCCTTCCCCCCATCCTGTGTGGTGAGGGGCAGTGACAGACACAATAGAATAAGAAAAAGTCAAAATCCACCCAGCCAGCATCATTTCCTTGGCCAAGGCCCAACCTCCTCAGCTCTTGTGACCCAGTGTCTGCGGCTCTTCCTCCGCAGGAATGGTAACCACTGGAAGGCTGAGGCAGGGCCGGCTCACCTGCCACCTCCAGCAGTGCAGCCCCACTTGCCCCGTCCACTCTCACTGGCAGTGGCTCTCCCGCCTGCCCTGCACTCGCCCCTTCTGGGAACAGCACCTTCCCCCGAGCTTCCAAGAGCCTCACCCCACCTCAGTCACAGGACCCAGTCCCACCGGTCAGAGGGGGCTACCCCTTGGTGACAGCAACCATCCAGAGCTGGGCCCATGATCCAGGCCAGCCACTGCAACTCAAGCTGGTTGAGAAAGGGCTCCTCCTTTCAGCTGAGCTGGGGAGGCTGCCAGTCGGGCAGCCTGGAGACACTGTGGCCATCTCTGCCCCGCCCAGGAATGAAACAGCACAGAGGAAAGCAGAGCCGAGAGAAACCAGGACCCAGCCATCCTGCTGGAGCGCCAGGACTGACCCCTGGGCCCTTCCTGGACATGAGCCAATTCTGCCTTTCTGCCGCTCTGAGTCGGAGATGTGTCATTTCCAGAAATGCCACAGCCAGAGTGGACACTCCTCCCACCTCCCCCACTTATCAGCACAGAGCTGAGAACAAGAGCCAGCCTGCCCTGAGCAGGGTCACCTGTGGCTTCCTCCACATGGGTGGTGTTCAACCTCCCCCAAACATCAGGTTCTTTCTTACCTCAGGCTTTGTGCTGTGGCCTCTACTAGGGGCGCCTTCACCACCACCTTTCCCCAGTCGCCTACAGAGTCCTAAGCATCCTTCCCAGCCCAGCCCAAGCCCAGCCCAGGGCCATCCTCAGCCAAAGAGCCACAGCCCGCAGAGAGGGAAGGGCCCGTGGCTGGCACACCCAATGCAGACCCGGGCTCCAGAGGGACCTGACTTCCAGAGAGGCCAGGAGTTACTAGGTGCACAACTGGCTGGAGGCATCCAACTCCCCAGGGATGCTAGGGCCCCGCCCTGTTACCTGCTCCCATGCACAGGCCTTCTTCATCCATGCATCGAACACCAGCACGTAGCCCAGTGTCACAAGGCAGGCCCAGACGAGCAGCGCCGAGGCCCGGAGCCACTGCCGGACGAGACATTCAACATACACCAGCACGTAGAGAGCCACAAACACAGCAAGTGCCAAGAACGCCGTCCCCAGGACAGCCTGGTGTTCCGAGGGTTCCTGGGTGGGGCAAACATACACAGAAATGCCATGGCACTCCCCACTGGGGTGCCACCTCCTCCAGAAAGCCTGCCAGGTTAGCCTACCCGGCCCCTGAGCAGGGTCACCTGTGGCTTCCTTCACATGCGTGGTGTCCAACCTCCCTCTAAACATCAGGTTCTTTCTTACCTCAAGCTTTGTGCTGTTGCCTCTACTAGGGGCGCCTTCACCACCACCTTTCCCCAGTTGCCTGCAGGTTCCTAAGCATCCTTCCCAGCTCATCCCAGCCCTGTGATGCTCTCCCTCCCCACTCCCCTCCATCAGGCCTCCCCGGATTCCCAGGGGCTCTGTGCACACCTGCAGGGGACAGGTGCAAGAGCACAGGAGCAAAGCCTCCTGGAGGAGAGGCCACTGATCCTGACTCTTAAAGAATGAATGATTATTTGAGGAAATAATGCCCAAAGGTGTCCCAGACAGGGGAAAAGCTGAGGAAGGGTACAGAGGTGACACTAGGGGGACGGGGGATAACAGGAAAGATGATTCTCAGCTGAACAGCACCTGGTTTCCCCCAGGGGCCCCTGAACTCCATGCAGACAGACTGACTGGGGGGCCAGCACGCAGTGGGTGCTTAGCACCTATGTGCTGAGTGACGGAACAAATGTCCTTGGGTTTATATCCACAGAGAAACAGGCAGCACTGACAGGGCACCTACTGGGTGCTGGCCCCCTTACACCTATCACCCTGCCAACACCCTCTAGTCTCTGATGTCCTCTTCTAGAACTTTACTGTCCCACACAGTAGCCACTAGCTACATGCACCTATTCAAAATTAAGTTTCCACTAATTAAAAATAAAGTTAAAAATTCAGTTCCTTGGTCATACTAGCCACATGTCAAGTGCTCAACAGCCACACACAAGGAATGGCTGTAGCAGGGCGAGGCCTAGATCAGAGATGATATTAGTGGCGTCTGCCTCAATAGCTGTGATGAGAAGGATTCTGAGACCACAGCCAGGATCCGGAAGAAGGAGTGTGGGGATTGATTCATGATGTCTGCCATGGTACTGGAAGTGGCAGCAATGACACACAGGCCAGCCCTGACCTAGGCCTTCAATAGAATCAAAGTTCATTGTGGAGAAAAGTGAGGGTAATTTATTTGGCCAGATTAATGTCACATCTAAAACCACTTCCAGACTTAAAAATAAAAATAAAAAATGTGTCTTCCTCCAGCCTAAGTATTCCCCACAGCACTTCACAGCTGCAGAAACTCAGGCTTAAAGAAGACAGAGGCTTGCCCAAGGCCTCACAGGTACAAAGCATCAGAGCTAAGCCCAGAGGAGCCTGTGCTGCCCACGGCTGCCCTCACGTACCCCATAGCTGAAGGCGATGACGATAAGGGCGATGCAGGCAGTGACAGCCACCAGCAGGAGCGTGAGCAGCAGCGGCCCGTGCTGGCTGGTGAGACGGTACTTCTCGTAGAGTGCATCCTGGTCGGGGCCCTCCCCGCCCTCGTTGAGGAAGTAGCGCCCCTTGGTCGGCATCCTCCACCTTTGGTACGCTGCCCAGCAGTCCACTCAGGACACCCTGGGGCCCGGGGAGCATCTGTCTGCCGACACCCGCCCCATGTGCCTAGGCCTCCAGCCTCTCCGAGCCCAGCAGGCGGGGCTGGGGAGGCGGCCCCTCAGCCTGCAGCTCCATGGGCACGCGGGGCCTGCCCTGCCTCAGCTCCCGGGCTGCGCTCACTGCACCGACGGCATCTTCCTTTGCATCCAGGACCGATTCAACAGACACACGGGGTCCTCCGCTCTGCAGAGACACAAAGCAAACCAGGATTTGACCTGGACTGGAGAGCAGGGCCAGGCCTCACAGCCCCAGGTCTGATTTATCAACCTGAACCCAAACCTCTTAGGTCGTGTTTAAAATTCCGCCCACCCTGAGGTCAGAAGGCTAGTTCCCTGGTGTTTCCTATAACTGTACTGTCCAACATGGTAGCCACTAGCCACTCATGGCTACCTAAAAGTAACTTAAATTTAACTTTAAAATTAAACTCAAGTTGATTTAAAGTGAAATAAAAAATTCAGTCCCTCAGCCACACCAGTCACATCTCAACTGCTCAACAGCCACATGCAGAGAATGGCTACCATATTGGGCAGTGCAGATACAGCCCCCTTCTGTCTTCCAGAAGCTGCCACTGAACAGCACTGACTGTTTTACTTTCAAGTGTAGGTCTCTGATGCATCTCAAGGAATTTTTACGTATGGTGTGAGGCAGGGATCAAGCTTCTTTTCTTTTTTCTGAATGGATATCTAATTATCCCAGCAGCTTTTAGTGAAGCCACAATCCTTCCATCAAGACTTTCAGTGGAGCCACCTTTGTCCTAAGTCAAGTGACTGTGCATGTGAATTCTGTTTGCAGGTTTTCTTCTGTTCCAATGGTCCTCATGCAAAGACCACATTCACTCAATGACTGGGGCTTTTCAGTGAGTCCTGTGTCTCAGACTCTAATGCCTCCTTCACCCAGAGCATCCCCCTTGCATTCATATTATGTTACACTTCCACGTAAGACTGAAATTTTATAAAAAGGGCTCAGTAACGAGAATTTAAGATGTTTTCAAGCACTGCTTCATAGAAAAAGAACCTGAACCTCAGAGAAGAATACAGTGGATGGACCTTTTACGACGAAGTTGAGAGCAGACCCCAGGCTTTTGATGCTCAGCCCAGAGGGGCTCCTTCTTTGCACAGCACCATTCATTTATTTGCTCATTCATTTATTCCCAAAAGGATTGTTAATCATGCCTGTGGCACACCAGGCCCACTATACCTCCTGTGTGCCAGGCTGGCTCTCTCTCCCTCTCTAGGGCTCCCAGTCTCCAGGGAGAGAAAGTTACCCAAAAATGTGCATTCCCTACATGCAGCAACTGGGGCTTGGGGTGGCTGCCACATTCCCAGGGGGAACTTTGTGTCAAGAGAGCAGCCCTGGATGGGGAATCCAGCACCCCCTCGACATCCTCCTGGCCTGCCTCAGAGATACGAACCAGGACAGGGCAGGTGGCAGAGGGCAGGGAGACAGTAAGACATGAGGAAGCTCAGGGCAATTACAAAGGATGCAAATAACCACCTGTGGAAGCTGCAATGGAAAGTCAGTCCAGAGCCCCCAAAGGCAGAATAGTGGGGTACTCAGAGTCACAGTAACTGAGTGAAGCCCCCCCCCAGGGAATGCCAGCTGCCTTGGGTAACCCAGGGCCACCTCACATCCAGAAGCCACCTGCAGCACTATTCCATCTGGGAGCTCCTACTCCACAAATCCCAGGGACAAAATGGAAAAAAATACGTGTTTGAGAGAGGAGCAAGGGGCCGTTTGCCCGAAGTTCTGGCCCCTCTGCTCCCTCTAGGCCCAGGCAGGTGTCCACAAGCCTGGGCAACTACCTGTTTAATCCAGGCAACCCTGGGGGGTTGGGCCAGGGCTGCCAAAGTGTCCAAAGTGCTTGGACAAGCTACAAATCTGTTTCCTACATAAAACACAAATTTTCAAATGCTGGCAGCTAAATTTTAAAATTTGAGTGGTGCAGCCTACTCGTTAGAGTGCCACCTCTAAATCTACACCTACCAGTCTTTGTTCCACAAGAGGCATTTTTAAACATTTTTTAAACTAATCTTTTAGTGGAGGTACTGGGGATTGAACCCAGGGCCTTCTGCATGCTGAGCACGTGCTCTACCACTGAGCTATTCCCACCCTTCCGAGGCATTTTTTGAGCACTAATGATGTAGGACCAGCCCTGTGCTGAAGAGTTCACAAAATAAGAGAAGACCCCCGCCCTGAGAAGCCCCCACTCCAGGGCACCCCTAGAACAGCTGTAATGCTGTCCCACCAGGTGCCTGCACACACACACACATCTCTACTCTCCCCCTCACAGCCTGCTAAGGCCAAGGTGTCACAGCCATTTTACAGACACAGAAGTGAATCCAAAGAGGTAGAGTGACTTGACTACGATCACACAGCTGGAGCTGGTTGGTAGAAGGGCTGGGACTCAAACCTAGGCAGGTCAGCCAGCTCCCAAACCAGGGCTTCTCGGCCCAATCTCGCTGTCTCACTGAACTGAGAAAGACTTCCCCACGGAGCTCCTTCCAGAAGCAGCAGCTCCTGGGGACTGAACCAGTTGCCCAAAGTATACACAACACTGCCTGTCCCTCTGGCCAGATGCCAAACACCAGTGCACAAGGACTGCCAGGCTGGGAAATCCCAAACCCCAAGGGGCCAGGGCAACGCCCCACAGCTGCTCCATCCCCTAGGCAAAGCTCCGAGGCCAGAACTGGGCACAGCCAGGACATGCACAAGCACACGCGCACCTCATAGCCTTTCATCCCCAGATGCCGACCTGCCCTTCCAGGCACACAAAACCTGGCTGAGCCAGGCATGGAGAGAAAAGGACCTGGCAAAATGTTCCCGAGGGTCTGTGGGAATCCAGGCCTGGTAAACACTCCTCTCAGTGATCTAATTAGGCCACTTCCTGGGCAACGGCAGGCAGGACAGGAGGTGGACAATGGACAGAACTGGACAGCACCGGACATAGGGACTTCAGCACACCCAGGGACCTCGTCCAGCTGCTGGAACAAACAGAGCAGCACAAGGCAGGGCAGGGAGGAAAGACTGCATTTCTCCCTCCTGGAGATGACCCAGCACCAACAGGCATCTCCACAGAACCAGCCCCTCTCCAGGAGCCACCCTCAAAATGAGACCCAGAGGCCCCCTCTGCTAGGGACAGTTTCAGTGTCCCTCTGTCCCATCACCAGTTCTTCTTGCCAACTCAGCTGGCAACTGGGAGGGCCCGTCTGAAGCCCTGGATGAAGGAACTCCTTTGCCACATCTCCAACAAATGCTCCTGCAGCCTCAGCCAGCATGCCTCAGTGACGCGGAGCTCATCATCTCTCAGGGCAGTCTTCCCAGCACTGGGCACCACTCTGGCTGTAAGTCCTCCCTGAGGTCAAGCTAAGTCTGCCAATCGCTCCCTCACCCCCACCCCGCTTGCCTTGTCTGAACTCCAAAAACCAAGAGCAGAGGCACTGAGGCCCCTTCACCTGGGGGGACTGGTCCCAGGGTTCCTTCACTGTCACTTACACCTCACGAGAACTCTGGCAGGAGAGCAGCCCCATCTCACGGAAGAGGGGTTCCAGTTGGAAGGGTGTTTCCTGCTTTTGCTGGGCACTGCCCTCTCCCCCCTTCTCAGCCCCTGGTTCAGGGGCCATGTGACCCAGGTCTGGCTCATCAGCACAGTCTCTCCCAAGCCCCCTCGACTGGTTCAAGGATGGACATGTGACCAAAACCAAGCCAGTGAGAATCCTTCCTAGGACTTCTGTTGATACGGGGAAGAGATGCTCTGGAGCTGCTAGCAGCCACCTGAGTGGCCACCTGAGACCAAAGCCCATGCAGAGACCTGGAGAGAGACAGTGTCCTGAACCTACCCCCTGAGCCCCTGGATCCAGTTCTGCCAGGGGCTCAAGCGACCCCCAGACATTTACTTGTATGGGATAATCAACGCACCTCACAGCTGAAGCCAGTGTGAGCTTCTGGCCCTTGCAACCAAGAGTCCCAAGGTCCATGTTGGGCCTCCCAGTTTGCTGTGTCCAGAAAGCCCTCGTGGCCCCTTGATGAGACTAGAGTCAGGGCGAGTTAGCTCAGAGGTGGGGGCAGACCCCTGCAGACGCAGCCAGTCCTGGCTAAGACCCCCTGCAAGGGGGCTGGGCCAGGGAGGGGAACCCTCCCCCCATGCCCACCCCATGTCCCCTCTGTCACTGTGTCCCAGACTGCACAGCTCAGGCCAGGCCAGACCACAGAAGACCCAGGCAGCAGGGCAGCAGGAGGCACAGGGCCACAGGAGGCAGGGCAGGGGGCTCCCCAAGTCCTCTCCAGGGGCCTCCAGTGACCCCCAGTGGCCCTGTGGGAGGAACTAGGGAGCCCAGGGTATGCTTAGGGAGAAACTGATACCAAGGGAATCAAGCTTCTCTTCCACATGCTGTCCTGGTGGGCTCTGAGCCCCTGGAGTCCCAGAGGCTGTGATTGAGTGGGGAAAATGATGCCCTAAACAAAATCTACTGAGTGCTTACTGCATGCCCAGCACTGTAGTCTCTTTAAATCCACACCCCTGTCCCATAGGTGAGGATGACTACTGCGTCTGTTTTATGGATGTGGGAATGAGGCACAGAGAGATTCAATCACTTGCCCAAGGTCACACAGCTAGTAAAAGAGAGAATACAGGGTGAATACAGGTCATCCAGGGTCCTGCCCTTCACCTGCATGGTGCTGACATCCACAGAACATGTAACATCTCAAAATGCCAACCCCTTCCTGCCCTCCCTCCTCAAGGCCAAGGGCAGAGGGTGGGGACAAAGTGGACCTCATCAAGGAAACTCCCTCTGCCTTAGAGAGGCAAGGTCAGGCAACCGTGCCAGGGAGCCTCCTCGCAGCCAGCAAGATCCAGGAGGGCCTCTTCCTCCAGGAAGCCCTCTGAGCTACCCACATATACCACCTTCTCCCTTCTTTGCAACCAAGACAGGACTGGGGTCTTCTTGCCAAATACTGATGGGAAGATTCCAAGTTTCTCAGCCAGAAGAACTGCTGGAAATAGGGGGCTGGGACCTCAAATTATGACTGCAAAGCTGGGCCCTCAGGGGTGCTCAGGAAATCCTTTTCCAGCAGAACCGGCTGATCTGGCAGCAGCCCCAGCCCCACCACACCCCTGGGGGAGTCTAGTCCACCCCAGCTTTCACAGACACAGACAGAGTACCCACTTCCTCACCCAAGCAGTACTG